TGAGTAATCTTATCAACCTGTTGACTTAAATTACCAGCTGGGAAACCTAAGAAGCCAAACGCCTTGAAAACCATCTGTCTGATGCTGGGAACGGATTTTATAACAGATATTATAGAGGTAGGCAGTTAGTGTCTGTGTATCACTTGGTCTGCTACGTTTTCCCGCGCTTCAGGTAATGTGCCTTTTTCCACTTTCTCATTGGCTACTGATAATGTAAATCTTTTTTCTGATTGGTCGTCGGGATTACTTTGAGTTTGGTTCTTCGTCACTCAATTGAAAAATGCTCTATTTCACTTCATTTCCACTTGTTAATACTCATTTATTTTTATTGCAGGTGGAAACATCTGACCATGCTAGGCTTAAGATCAGAATTGCAATGAACAACTTCTTTGAGGTAATTTGGTTTTTGAATTCTCTTAAGACGTTCAGTTACTTGTGAGCCAATCATCTTTCAGAATCTGGGAGAAGGCTAACTTGGTTTGGTGTACTTTCAGGTCGAGAGAGGGAATAATGAGTCAGAACAGGCAATTTTTTCTGTCCCAGATTATATTGGAAATGCTTGCAAGAGTGTTGGTAAGATACAGTATTACTCTGATTCAAAAAGATAAACCTAGCATTTCTTTAAAGGGCTTTTCCAATTGGTTAAGAACTAAAACTCTTCTATAGATAAGTCTCCCGCTCTTTCCCCACCCTCTCCGCCCACCATTTATTAAGCATAAAAATGGAAGGTATGTGTGTTAAAAGAAACTTGCTTTCTTTCTCCATATTTAGCCAGTAGAATCCGCGGAAAAGTAGCACAAGTAGCGTTTGATGAATTTCATCGCCATTCCACATCTCTCATTAAGAAGGCCGTGTTCGGAGTCGAGAAAGATGGAACAATCAAACAACGCCTTCGATTTGACGCTAATCAACTGGTAAGGGAATGAAAAGCATTCTTTGTCGTCAGTTGAAGTCGATTTCTTCTAAAATAATCTTATCGGGACTTTTTTAATCCTGTTAAGTTGTATCAAGACACATGAACGCTTTTGGCACAGAATTCCTTGTAAAATTGCTTGAAAAGAAGACATTTGACCTAAAAAAGGCAAAGTCTAGTTCTAGCTTGTTTTAATACATGAGGTCAAGTTACGAATGGAAAAGTAGGAGTTGTTTTCCTTTTTTTTTTAATCACCAGGTGGTAACTAATGTTGACATCCAAAGCATCGAGCCTGTGGATTTGCAAATGAGTGAAAGCCTCAGTAAATCTGTTCAAATGGCCATTGAGATTTCTACAAAGTAAGTTCAGCAACCTTCCTTTCCAAGAAGCAACTTTCTACGTCAACACCCTATGATTGACTAGCATCTAATTTCTCCTTACAATAATATCCCTTAATCAATCATTAAGGTCACGTGAAAAAAGAAATGATTACCGACTAATGGAGCTCTTGATTGTTAAAAAAATTCTCCTTGTCCACACTAAGGAAATGTATAGAGAACAGTATAGAGAATATACATAAGGATGTAAAGATGTAAAGGGTTAAAAGACGCTGACTGTAAGTGGGCGCTAGGTGAGCAACGAGCCGGTGAAGTGTATCCTAGTATCGCTAGCAGTGGATGCGATGGTTGTATAGTTGGTAGTGTAAGGAGAAAATGAAACTGACCATAGTAGAGTTTACATATCAGGTCCATTGAGCGAGCTGCTGAACATGAAGCTAAAAGAACAGAACAAATGGCGAAAGGATTGTTAGAAAGACAGAAGCTTACTAACGAGAAGGTTCGTGCTGTGAAGGAGCTTACAACAAAGAAAGGACCAGTTTATTATAAACTTGTGTTACGCGAATCAGTGATGGTAAAGGGTTTAGAAGCTGTTTTATCCACATCCAGTATTGTGGCCTGGGTTCCACTCCCGATTCTCAAGACTAGATTTTGTTGAGTTCAGGCGCTTAATCCGCAATTTCTCTTGATTCCATAGTCTTCTCCTGTGCACAAATATTATGGTGATGTAGAAAAATTCCATCTCTCTGGATATTTCTCTCAGGGCCAAAGTCAAATTTATGTTTTTAAACTTGCCATAGCACCGCTTATGTTTTTATTAAGTGTTTTTGTCAATAGCCATTCGCTCTGATGAAGGGCTAACGCTCGAGACGTCAGCTTTGAAACTCTTTGCGCTGGCCAATTTACGTTATCAACTCAGTTGATAATACTAAATTACCCTATTTTTCCTTTTACCAAGTTGTTAGGAGAAGGGCAATGGAGTTTGGAGGGGGTTGCTTCCCTTTAAAACCTTTATTGGGTCGGAGTGGATGAATTTACAAATGCATTTATAACTTGACGAATAGATTTATTACTTTATTACACCCATTTTGAAATCACTGGTGGTCCCTGTAATCTGATTGGCTCTAATCGGTGCGATTTATTCACGAATCACATCATTCTTTGCTTTAAATCACATCTTTTTCCCAGCTAATGAGAAGGCTACACTAAAAACAAAACAACCAATCAGATTTCAAGGCTTTTTTAAAGTAACCTATCAAATTTCAAGAAAATAAAAGACAAATAGTATCATGTGGCAAATTTTGCAACGTTTGTTTCTAAAACTCTTATTCCCCCCCCCCCCTAAAATGGATGAATTTAATTTCAAATCAGCTCAGTACTGCATCAATAAAATAATTGAACTGACCAAGCCTGTATTTGGGCGATTTCAAAGTGGATGTAATAAAGTGATAATTGGACCTCGTGTCGTGCAATTTTGGTCTGAAATCATACTTGTGATTTCAAATCACGCGTATGATTTCAGCCCAAATTGTACTCCACTCAGTTCAATAACCATTATTAATTATACTCATTTTTCATTGTGAAAATAGAAATGGTAATTAAAAACGTGTCTTTCTCATTAGGAAGCTGAAAATGCGCGAGTGAAGTTATTTGAACTGAGAGCGATTACTGCCGCAGTAGAATCTTCAGGACAAACTAAATCTGAGGCACAGGTCAGCCAACTTCATATATACCCACCCTTTGCATACATATTGCTAATTTTCTGATTTTGTGGGACTTTTCAGAATTCTTCATATGACGCTTCTTTCGATAATGTACAAGTTCGTGTTTGTTTGTTTCATTTCAACAACCTCTTCGAGATTTAAATCAACGTTACTGTAGTAACAAAATGTTCTTATTATTCCAAAAGGCTCAGGCAGAACGTTTGCTTATTGAAGGGGAGAGTGCAATAGAAGGTATAGACGAGTTTGGTCGTGGAAGTTGTGCTTTACTTACGAGTAGTGTACGGGGGCACTATGGTCTACAGGCAATCAGATGAGATTATTTTGTACCACTTGCGTCATTTCCGCGCAGCGTAACAGTATTAATCCTTGCTTGACACTTAGGCATGACAAAGAGATTGAGTTATTTCAAATCACCATCTTTGAGGCCAATCCGGCCATATGAATGGTTTATTTGTACCATGTGGTACAAAATACTCCTCTCTGATTGGCTGTGTATCATAGTACCCCTGTATACCACTCATACATTATAGAAAGTGCAGATATGTTTGATTCTAACGTAGCTTTTCCCGTGTGTTTAGTCGCTAAACTCAAAGCAGAAGCTGCTGAAGTTGAGCTACTTGCTGAGTTAGAATCTCAAAGAATGGTGAGTTGGAGGATAATTGATCAGATGCAACTGTAGCGGAATGCGTGTATATCTTATCATTTCTCATTCCTTATTTAAGGAGAAAGATGGGGAACTCGAACACCAGAAGCGACTTAATGAACTCGATCTACAGAAGGCCAAAGAACTGGCAGAAATCGAGGTTTGTAGCATTGTGTTCTGGCATCAATTTCAAAGTGGTCATGACTCGTATCAAGAGAATATTTATATCCTCGTGCTTATTTTCAAACTCGATCATTATCGTAGACTGACAAGTTTGCCGCCATGGTGGAAGCCTTGAGTGCAAAGACGATCCGTAAGATTGCGCGCTCTGGTCCTGAGTCAGAGGTGAGGTTTAAACTTTACACTGTTACGCTGGGAGCGTTTTAATAACAGCGGAGGACGGATGGAGATGATTTTGAAGATGTAATTATTTGGTTGCTAACCAATATCTTAATCTTCGATGTTATGTGCGGGCTTGTGTTCTTTTTATCTAAATTTTAATACCTTTATTCGTACTTTTTCCGCGCTTATCTTCGTTTATGACTTGGCGTGCTTTTCCCGCGCTTTTTACGGATCACATGTTTTGGTTTGATTTGCTCCCGGTTACTTCTGTTACCGCGTGTGTTGTGACGATCACTTAAAAAAAATTGAAAGTATTCCACCACGAGTAAAAATTGATAAAATCTACCAACTTCTCTTAAGCGTGGTAAACATTGCAACGCAACGCGGTAAATGGAAAGATATGACCCGAACTATATAGATATGTATTCTTTTATACTCTGCCGTTTTATCGACAGGCCGGGCTCCTCAAGGGACTGGGAATACAGAATGTCCTCATTACTGATGGAAAAACGCCTCTCAACCTGTACCAGTCCCCAAGCGGCTTTTCCCAGCCGGCAATGATGAGCTAGAGACCGATAACGAGAGCTCAGGAGTACAGTACAGTACTCAGTAATTTTAAGGTGAACTTTCTTCGTCAATATGATAACAGACTGGTTTTAAACTGTAAGTTCTGTCTGTGCACTCGCACTTAAAAACAGTAATGGAACCAAAAAATAAAGGACTTAGATTTGAAAAAGAAAAAATATAAAGATTTAGAATCTTTGGTTTAAAGCATTGATTCAGCACACTAACCAATTGGAAAGTTCCTTTTAAAGATGGACGATTCAAATGGCAATAAATAGTGGTGGGAAAAGATCTGTGTATACCTGCCGTGTGTATCACATTTTACACAGACAAGAGTTGTCGCCGGAAAGAATTAATGACATGAATAATTTAATAAATAAGATTGTTGATGGTTTGTCTTGTCATTTGCTGATTTTTCTATCGCCACCTAAACTGCAGCACGTTTATTACTGTATTTAATTTTTGTCGGCTTTTATGAACACTTTCCTTATCTGAATCTGAGAGACGTGAATTTGACATTTCAGACCGTAACTGAGTAATATTTTCTTTATAACACCTTGAAGGAGGATTAAACAACAAAAAAATCGCTTACTAGAACATTTCAGTTGAAAGAAGGGACCAAGAATATTCAGCTCATCTTTCCACACTGAGACAATTCCTTCTCTAATGCCTTCAGGAGCCTTTGCGTCAATCACACGCGAGGTAGCCGCGCGCGATAAAGTTCGTGCTCCGCATCACGTTTGTATGAGGTGTCGACGACAACATGTTGAAAAATACGTAAAAAATCCTCTGATGCGCACCAGATCCTTTTTTCCCCTACGGTCATATCAAACATTTCTTGGCTTTTATTTAAAGATTCGGTAAAAGACATTCAATGTAGCAAAGAAAACGGTATTTTCTTATGGAAAATAACTGTAAATACAAATTGAGTAAGGAAGTAGTATATTTAAAGAAAGTAAAATTTTTCACTTATAGACTGATATATATCGAATTAGAGTGGATTGTAGAGTAATATATTATTGTATTGACTTATGGTCAAGCATTATTTTCAATGAAAGTTCCAGAATTGTCCGCTAAAACACGGGTCACCATTATTTATGATGATAGTTTGAAATTCAACCTGATTCATCGATTTTATTAGTTTCCAGGGTCTTATTTCAACTCTTTAGCGAGCTTAAAATAACTTACCTCCCATGAATACTTCATTATCTAAATTCGACTAACTTTACTTAATAGCATATGCCATGAAACCAAGTAGGAAAAATTGCCCGTGTAAACATAACTTGTTTCTCCTCAAACGAAACATTGCATCCACCCACAACTCAGATGATTTTCGGAGCAGACTTGACTAAACCGAGTGTCTTGGAAAATTTGTTGCAATCGCCAGTTCCTTCATTTTTCTGGAGACCGCATGTTCATTTTGTTGTTTTATTCAGTGGAGTACTCACGATCGAAGTTTATAATTTTTCCCAAATCCTTTTTTCATTCCCTTACCCTTGCAACTAAGCGATTAAAAACCTAGAAACTCCATTTTTGGTGTTTAATACGAGGGTGTCTTGGTCGTGTTACGTTTATTTGACTACAGTGCTGGGTACTCCTCAGCCTTTTCAGATGTATCGGTGGAAAATCTAGAAGAAAAAAAAAGACGAAATACATTTAGAGAATTATTGAAATTGGTAAAGGTAGTGGCAACTTTGCGCTTAATTATAAGAGTAGTCGGATATACAGAAATAAAAGCAATAACTTTAAAATTGAGAAAAAGTTTTCATTGCAGCTGTTCCCGTTACGGGAATTGCTACGAATTGCAAATTTGCGTGCCGCCTTTTGTTGAAAAAGCGGAACATATCCCACGGTGTTTGGAGATTGGCAATGGAGTATATAATAATAGCAAAATAGCCTTGATAAACTATTTTGGAACGAATTTCACTTTGCAGTTTATCTATATAGCATTACATGAGTTCTTGCAATACAAAAAATACATCCGCTTTTACTGAATTAGTAAAATTTACAAGCCATTAACCATTTTTTCGTGATTCGGGGGGATAAATTTTTTTTCATTAGCGAACCAAACGTTGTCATCTGCCTCTGTTTGATCGAGGTTCAAAACATCTGTCTCAACGTGAAGATTAACATACTGCCTGATTATCATAACTGACCTCTTATTTTTTTTCTTTATTTTTCTTTTTGTCGTCTAAGTAAAAGAAAATCGCATTTCAGTCGCAAGCTGCGAAGGAAGTCATCTACTAATCAGCTAAATTTGTGATATCGGCCAAGAATTGGTGTAATTCGGGATTTCGTTTTTACACAGCGTTCTAAGCAATATTTTTTCATTGACAATCTTTGTGAGGAATCCGCCAATCAGCAGATATTCAATTACAATGGGCTTTTGTTCAATTATTTTCCTTGACAACCGCACTGTATAATTGGGATCAAATGTGTCTCACTTGTCTGTGAGAACAATAGACTGTGGAGGGCGGCTTTGTTACCAACTTCCGCCATTCTCCGCCATACGGCATGCTTTCAATTCCTAGAATTCTATTGGCTCACAGCGGAACAAAGCGCCCCACACGCAGAATAGCCACAAGGAAAACAGATATTGTTCCATTCGGCATTGTTCAAAGACGGCTTGGATTTCCACCATTTGTTTCTATTCCAGTGTTGAAACTTCGCCTCGGGACCACCAAGAAGGTTCCGAGTTGAAGATTTGCGTCTGAAATTCGAGCTCGCTAGTTTGTATAACTCGCGCGTTTTGCGCCTCGTGACGTGTTTCCTATTCTATCACGTGATTACAAGAAATGTCATTTGTGTTCCAGTGATATTGCTAGTTGTGATCAAACTCCAACAATGGCTACGGTTGCGAGTGGAATGAATAACGCGATCCCAAACGGACCTGAACTTGGTGAAGTGAAAATAGAGAAAGTAGATCAGATCAAGACGAGCGATCAGAACTTCAACTGGAAAATAACGACGACGGTGCCTTCATATAACGATGCCAATTCCCTGAACACAACAACAACCGTAACAGAAAACACGTCTTCGGACAACAGTAATAATGTAGTAGTGGCAGAATGTCCTCAAATCGATGCTGCTACTCTAAAGCTTGCTACTTTGCCAATGAAGACACAGATCATGCCTGGCCCTTACTCTGAAGTTCAGCTGCCCAAGAAGGAAAATCATGTCAAACGGCCGATGAATTCGTTCATGGTTTGGGCGCAGTCAGCGAGAAGAAAACTCGCCGAACAGTACCCGCACGTACATAATGCTGAATTAAGCAAAATGCTCGGAAAACTCTGGCGAATGCTTCCCCCCGCTGAAAAGCAACCGTACGTGGATGAGGCGGCAAGGCTAGACAAAAGACACAAAGAGGAATTTCCAGACTATAAATATCGACCAAGAAGGAAGCAGAAACCGATGAAACGTCCGTATGTTCAAACGCGAGTTGCTGTGACACCCGGGTGGCCTGCTGGACAGGCTCAAACTCCAATCGCAATGAACGGGACGGCTACCATCGCAGCTCAAAACGGTACCTTTCCCACTACAGCCTTGACACAGAATTCCCAAGTGGCTCAGGTTTTTCCTCAAGGAATTCAGACAGTCCCAGTACAAGCAGTGAACAATGGAGGCACGGTAACGTATGCGCCAATCGGTAGTGTAGGATACGTACCAACGACTCCTATTCCGGGAGGAAGTATGATTCTACGACCAACGTTCGTTACAACTGCAGTAACGAATCCAACATCAATCCAACCTGCAGCTTCTGTAACCGTGCAGGCGGTCAGATCTACCGTAGCAACAACTCTGGCGACTCCAAGTTATGCTATCCCGTTAACACAGTACGCTGGAGCGCCGATTATTGTTTCGAGCGGTGTCAATAACCTGGTTAACTCTACCGACAATACAAACATGGCTACAGAAAAACCTACGGAAAACGTACCTCTGGCTACCATAAGCATTCCCGCTTCAATGGCTGGGCCCATGAACAATCATTTCGCCACTATTGCGGCTGCAGGACTTGTGGCGCCTAATTCGGATCCTGTCCAACCCAAAACCTCGGAAAGCCAACATGCGGTGGATAATAATTCCGTTCTGACTGTTTCTGTGTCGAGAAATGGCACTGAGAACCAAGTTGATGCGTCAAACGCAGAGCATCCACAGAGTATTGAGGTGAAAACAGCTGAGGGATGTCGGATTTAATCTTAAATTACTGGCTGCCTCATAAATCTCGGTAGGCCATAGCGTGCAAGTACTAACCCTAAATTTTGTGTTTATTTATTTACTGTTAGTAATTTGTAACATGGTACTTTTCTTACGACTTCCTCGCTCGCTAGAACAGTCGTGTTACTCTCTGACTGTGGGTTCTCTCTGTCTTGCGATTGTAAATTCAGTGCACGTGTGACAGGCCTTTCTATTGTGTACCTAGTTGATGTACACTTGCATCAAGGGTCGACAATCTGGAGGCCACAAATGATTGTTCTTACAGAATGAGTTTATTATGTTTTTGCCCAATGTGCTTCACACGTCATCGCCTCTCTCTTTTGTACGATCCTTTCTACAAGAATGTACTCGTAGTATTTTCTATTGTTCGGCAGTATACTCCGGTTCAAAAGATTTTTAATTGTATGTGAAATTAACAATTGTGACATGTTTGTTTCGTTTTAAAGCACGTTCAGCCCAGCGCTAAGCTGTAGTTTTACCGCGCACTATTCTAATTATGCCTGCGATTTCACACGCCTTCCAAAAGCAAGGTGTGTCTGAAGACAGTTCCAGTATGTTCGAATCCTGACTTATTCGAACGATCAATCATTCGATTCGTGTGACCGATCATTCGTTCGTATACAAATAGCAATAGCGCTTTATTTATTGCGAACGGTGAAGACTGCAGTTGCTATTTATTTTATTGAATGGGGTATATTTGTCAGAGGTTAAAGGATATTACGAAATTACTTGTTTAAAATGATTATTACTTAGTGCGATTTCGTGAAAAAAAAAAACATCTGAAAGACATAAGCTCGAATGGTTTCTAAGCCATTTGTTTCTTTGAGCATTTGAAAAGGTTTTATTGTTTAATTTGACAGGACTGTGTACATTTCAAGAGAGATTTGTGATTACGAAACTGCTTGTCAATTGTTTTGAATTATTTCTGATCAAAATTTGGACAGACTAAGACATGTTGGTCGACAAATAGTTTTTTTTACCTTCAGTTGTTAATAATTTCAAGTACAGTTCTAGAAAAGAACATGAAAAATCAAGGAAAATCTTATATTGTATGTTTTGAATACTTTTGGTGATAACTTTTTTCTGGCATGTAATTTTGGTTGCTCACTGCTAACATTTCCTTGCAACAAATTAGAGCTTTGGTTTTCTGAGGAGTAAATTACTGCTGTGGTAGGTTAAATAAGTGTGAGACATCGGGCAAAGCATAGAAAAAAGGTCTTGTTATTTTATGGGGCTGGAGTTTGTTTGTTAGTTTGGCTCTCAAAGTCAAAAGACAAGTGCCATAAGGTATGCATGCAGAAGATCTGGGTCAAATCCTAAATATTAAATTCTACAATTGTTCTTGTCTGAGCTGATAAATGTGAAGATGCAAACCAAAGTGTTGAAATTCTTCTGTGGCAAAATGTATGTAGATGATATTCCTTATTGTTCATTGTTCTTAGAAAGTTAAGCTTTTTCAATGGAAATCTTACTATTTCCAAGATTATTTTGTTCTTTTGAAACCAGCCCTGAGAAATTGTTTTTGTTTTAATTTTGAGCTTGAATGAGTAATTTTACCCTGCATGTATACTTTATGACACTTTTTCTTGAGAGTACTATAATCTCCTTTTTAATTGCACAAGTGGACATTCACTTCTCAGTGAATAATTTTTTTCATTTCTTTATTATTACATAATACTCATTATAAAGTTATTCTTAAGACAAAGTTGATCACATAAAACTGCTTCAGTGTTGGTGCAATGAACTTTTTATTTTCTTTTGTTTTGTAAAATGTAGCAGCATATTTATGAAAGAATACACATTCATCTTTCTGTAACAAAGATTAACTGTAATGGTATCTAGTTACTTTAGACTTCAAGAGCCATTTGTCTTATTTAAGTGTAGAAGTTTGTATTTTAAGGTGACTGTGTGTTAGTAGTGTACGTTCATCTTGTGACAGTGTTTATTACTGTACTTTTCATGTTTTTGTATTGTTTGTTTGCTATCATTGCTGAGGATGTTAAATTAATAGCAAAAACTATTGTTAAAGAAGAAAACATGAGAGACAATGTGCAGTTTAACAATCCAGTTCAGAATGTAAATTTAAGGTGGTGACAAAGTTTTTTACAGAATGTGAGACAGGTATACACACCGCAATCAGACATAGAATTTATGTTAAAGATAAACACCATGGAACCCCAATTCTTTGCCAAGGGTGGGATATGCTTACTACCTGTTATGCAGAGTTGACATTAATTGATATTTTCCAAAAGGTTGATGTTGAATAGTTAAACAATAGTAGTATGGAATGGTAGAATTCTAAATGTGATGATATAGGCTTATTTAACAAGGATTACATTACCATTCATATTCAAAGTAGTTTATAGACACAAAAAGTTAATAAATGATGAAAATACACACCATTCATTTATTGTATGAAAATAGATAAGCCAGGTTTCAATGCTATTACACAGTTGATTTTACTTTTTCAAATTATGATGGTAGAAGTAATCTAGTAATCAAGTCATAGGTAAATCAAAATAGTATGCTGAATCTCTAGGCTAATAAACAGTGAATAGATTTTTACCATTTGTAAGATATTTTATGCCTCTGGTTACTGTGTAACTGACAGAGTAATTACCAGTAACTTTCTAAGATTTATGTGAACTTCATATTATTGTAAAGAAAGGATTTGACTGTTTTGTGAAAGCCTTTGGTACAAGTTTTATTCATTATCATTAAGCAAATTCTTGGTATCTTGGAGATAGACCCATGCACGCTACAAGTGCATTAGATTTTGATGAACTAGAGGAAGGCTGAAATGTTAATCTTTAAGTAGTACTGTACATTATGGTAGCAACTTCCCTCCTTTCATTTCTGTTGCCCTCCTTTTTTTATACCAAATGCAAAATACATTAAGAACCCATAATCTGATCAAAAGTCCTTGCTTTTGATCACACATCGTTCTGTGAAGGGAAAACCATTCAGGCCTTTCTCTTGTTTGTCTGGTGTATGGTATATTGGCAGTCGGCTCTGCATACGTTCATTATTAATCAGAAAATCATTATTTAAAATGTAGTGTTTTTAATTCAGAATAAACGTAATGAACATCTTTATGAATTTTGTGAATTTTTCACTTGCTTGTGTCATAGTGTATCTGATATTAAGTGTGATCTGCTGCACTTTCCCCTGTAATCATTTTATTAAACAGAAACTCAGGTGCTCTAGTATTTTAAATGTCATAAACTGTTATTACAGTGCCAGTATAAAAGTGCAAATTGAATTGGAAAGACTCAAAAGATATGGAGCCAGTTAACTAATTACTGGGCTTGGAAATCTACAAATGAGAACAACTTAACTTCTGACAAGTCTGTTGCTATTCATACTCAGTCAATTCCCTATTATCTCAAACAGGAGGTTGTGATCCTTTTACTCTCATTGATTTAGTATTGGCATGATTAAGAACCTGCTTTCAAGGTTTTTATAAAGTCAAGGCCAGTTTACTTTATAGCCTTGAGCTCTATTGTAGAATGGAAAACCAAATTGAATGTATTCAAAACTACAACAGCATCCATGTCTCCTTCCTAGATAAAATACCTTACAATCCCACGTTAATTTCCAGAGAATGTTTTGAAGTGGTCCTGCATGGTTCAAGTGTTACAAGCTCTAGTCCAGCTCAATGGGTTTCTTCTTTGAGGCAAAAATAGAAATTCAACTCTCACAGTGCACACTGCTATTGTAAACCTGACTTCTTTCTGAGTCTAGCAATTGTAAATTTCCTTTGAGAAGGTTACAGAATCCAAGGAAAGCAACAGCTGAAGTGGGTTTCTGTGATCCCTAAAATACTGTTTTTAACACCCATAACATCTTTCTTCATCAGTATTTTAAAATAGATTGAACAGCAAAATAAGACAAAGTTTCAACAAAAAGATGAAGTTTCTTAATAGTGTAATTTGATAATTTAAATTTAATAATTTGAATCCTGACAACTTTTATACAACAATATATAATTACACCATTAATTATTATGTTAAAGTAAGCATTCTTGATTCCTTGACTTGCCTTCGAGAAAAGCAATACACAGGTCTGCAAAGTACATTAGCTAACCACTGCTCTAATTTCTAACATTTACTGCAACAGTTTCCTGACCCTTCTACAGGATCTTAATTTTGAAAAAAAAAAAACCTTAAATAATTTGTGAAAACATATCCAACTTAAGAAATCATTAGCTTAAAAGGTAAATAAACTTCTTGTTTTACTAGCTTTAAATAGTTTCAGTTTCTTCTGAGCATTCTAAGCTTGAGGAATTTCTCCTTGCTGACACAGTATTATGCTCTATTATTTGCAACATTTTCCTCTGGGACTTAAATATTCAATACATCTCATGTTTAAGTTATTGTAATCCAATTCTTTTGTAGCTGAATCAGTGGCCATTTCCTCTTTTCATATGTTGGCCAAATAACCCATCAGAAACAGTATACAACAATACTTGAAGTTGTGGTTCTAAAATATATTACATGTCCAGAAGTATAACCAACTTGGCCAGTTAGCTCTAAAAATAAGTTATGACTTAACTTTTTCATCAGCTCTTGAAGAGTGAATGGTTTCTTTTGTACAACATGTCTTTCACAAAAGCCTGATTTCAAAGGCTGCATAAATTCATCTGCCTACACATCCAATTAATAACATTTCAGAAATGAAAGGGTAAACATATTTAACAATAATCATTTGTGATAATTTTAAAATATCATTCAGTTTAAAAACTTTCCTGAACAATGAATAAATGCATGTCATCATCATCCTTCCATTTTGTTTTAAGAGTAGAATGGATCTGCAATTTGGTTCACAATAAATATGAGTAGATGCTCATTTCATTTCTTGCACCTTCAAGCAAAATGGCAATAACCCTTTCTTAGATTTTCCTCCTCGCAGACGTAGATCCAACCACTTCTGCCTGTTAGGAATTGTCTTGTCATTGAGGACATCAATGTCATATGCATCAATATCCACCCCTGATAATGATGACAGAACTGAACTACTACTCATGGTACTAGCATTAGATTCAAATTCCCCATCATTATCTTCAACACTTGATTTCTTCTTCCTTGGCTGCAACATCAGCAGACCGATAGCACCATCAAGATGCCGAAACACATCTAACTTCAAGAGGTGTGACTGAATTTCAGATGAGAGGTTGCTTGAGTCAGACGCAATCCATACTTTGATGTAACCAAAATCTAAGCTAAGCTGCTGGGCACCATAAAAGCTGTGGAATTGATTTGAAAAGGAAAATAAATTCTTCACTTGCTGACTTCCTCTGTAATCAATACCACAATTGACTGGCAGCTCCTTCATTGTACAATCGTACAATGAAGGACCTTAGACAATGAATCAAAAGAAAGCTATTAAGCCAGTTTCAAAGCTCCTAATCAGAGTATCTACTCAATAATTCCAGCCTGGGCTGTGCATAAGGAAAATTCAACAATGATCACTGATAATTGAAAATGTTCCTCTCTTTTCCAGCTATTTTTCACTTTTGTTGTCTCACCAACTTGTCAGTTTTTGTGTTACTTAAGCCTGATCTTTCAAGCAAGGTTTAACATGAAGCCCTGTGGGGTGGGGCTGGTTGTCTTTTTCCAGAGATATCTGCATTTAAACACATTCTTTCTGAAATGCTAGTGAAAAGGCCATCATATACTACAAATTCTTACCTAAAAACAATTTCCTCTTTGAGAATGAAATCACTCCATGATTCCATCATGGTGTTGACAACAAGGGTCAGAACATTCAGTCGACTTTCAAAAGACAAACCCATGGAGCTCTCTACAACTGGTTCCAAAATCTGAAACACTGCGTGTTCTACATATTGGCTCCGCTGATGAGGAATCCCTGATTATAAGTATTACAAAACAAGTCATAAGAGAAAATGAGATATCATCAAAATTAAGTCATGCTATTAAGTCTGGCTCTCTTGAGAACAACTGTTAGGGTTGCCTGGGTTTTCTGTATTATGCTAGGAAAAAAGAATTTTCTTAGTTCATCTGGTTGATTAACTTTTTCAGTTGTCATCAAACCAAAATGAGACAACCAAAAAAATAACATGCATGCACATTTAATGAAGCAACCAAAATAATGCAACTTTCTCAAGACACCACTGGTGATTTCCTTCAATTCCTTTTCAAGCAATTTCTTTAAAAAATTTGAGTTGCCAAACTGGAGGGACAGGTTATCTGCAGTGCAACTTACATGCCTATGTTTACAATACTTTTAGGGTGAGTTGATAGAGCTGGTCCTATTTCACAGATGGATTCATAAGCATGCAAATCAGCAAAAAGCCATGGGAATCACACCAAAAGACCAAAATTGACTACAGTCAAACCTCGATTATCCGGACCCCAATTATCCGGACTATTCGATTATCTGGACTTTCTTCTCTGGTCCCAATTTTCCATGAATATTAATTAGTTGTGATCTTGAAAACTCAAAGTCGCAAAAAGCCCAATGATTCTTTCAAAAGACTGTTGAAACAGCATATTATCCTGTGCGCTTTTCAAAATTTGAAAGTGCGACGAGACAAAGAAATATTCTGATGCGTTCTGCGAAAATATGGTTGGCTCAATTGTTTTGTTGCCGAGGGAATTTCATGCTTGATTAGTTCCTTCCGCATGGGTTATGTAAACACATGAGCGATCAATAATTATTGTAAACTCAAATAAAAAACATGCCTACGAAGCAAAAGCTAGCCGTTCTATTGATTAAAGATAAGCAGATAATTATTTCACATTTCTATCTCATTAATATTCATATTTTCAATTATCCGGACTATTTACCGAGGTCCCGATGAGTCCGGATAATCAAGGTTCGACTGTACTGTGTTTCCCCTGAACTTCTGAATGTGTAGAAATGTGATCACAGCTTTTACCATAAATTAAGGCAAAAAAAAAAAAAAAAAAAAAAGAATAACATCAGAAAATATTCTGTTGGGAGATTTTGACCACTTCAGCCTAAACTAGTTGTGGCCTAAACAGTTAATCCCAGTGGAGGGTGATTTTAGTTTCAAATGATGGAAGTAAGGTTAGAGTTAGGGTTCCATTAATTTTACCAGAGTGGCGACTCTTCTTCCAACTCTTGCCAACAGGCATGGCCTCCTGAAAGAATTCTGTTGAAATTTTTGTCAGATCTCTTGAGAACAGAACCCATGACTTCTTCAATAAACCCTAGTGAACAGAAAAATCACAGGTTTTGCAAAGAGCACATCACAATCAAAATATATGCAACTACCAGATCTTGGCACGAAGTATAAAGAACTTATTCCTGCCAGTCTCAGAAACCACCTTGCAACTTGAAACATTTTCAAGTGAATCCATAACACCTTTGTGCAGACTTAACAAAGTACTCTAAGATGGTGGCTGAGGACAATCAGACACATTTGATTGCTAAGCACTATATGACAATAATAAAGAAAATGTTGAAGATGGACAACATTTATGACATTTCACATCAAGGAAATGACAAGAACTGACCTCCAAGTTGCTTCTTTGCTCCTGTAAAAGACTGTACTGTACAGAAAGAGAGTTCCAACTGATGCTATCACTGTGAACTGCACTCAGTGACTGTACAAGGAAAAATGTCTTCTTCACTGACTGTAGAAAAAGTGGTAAGTCCCACTGTGTCAGAAGCAGAAACTGCTCAAGGGACCATAAGGATAAAAAATGATGTATTTTGGTATCAAACCAGTTAAATCCAAAGGACAGCAACGAATGAAAGCGGCACAGACTGGGAAAAACTGACAGTGTTAGAGCTCTGGCACTTCTATTGGCATGAGGTTCGAAGTGGCTAGATGATCGTTTCCAGTAACCTGCCATTTCAAAAATGCTTTCAAGTGGATCCAAGAGACAAACTATGGATTGTGCTGTCTGTGTACCTGGGATGCTGTCTGTAAGTTCACTGTCCATGCGGCATTTGTCAGACAGACAGGAACCAAGAACACCACTGAAAGCTAATGAGAAAAAAATGCAATAACTTCAGAACTGTTCACAGTAGAAGGCAAGGTAGGAGAAGCAATTATTTAATTAACTATCAGTTTCAAATGAAATGAAACCTAGTAATGAACAGATACAAGAACCTTTAGGACTGTCACTAATTTAATTGTGTGGTGCAGAGTTGCACATAATATAGAAACTATTGCTACTTTTATTGAAGAGCTTTTAGGGCAATGTTTATGTGCACACAGAGAAGATCAGCAGATCTTAATCTTACCTGAATCCCAGCTTGATGCAGAGGCCAGACAATGAAGATAGCAGCTTACAGCTTGAAGGGAACTAGTACCAGCTGGTGGCAAACAGCCTGTGAACAGAAAGGAAAAATAAAACAATTCTCCTCCTTTAAAATTTATATTTGGCTCACTACAGCCATGTGTGGAGCCATTTTATCATACATGAAACAACCAGTGAACATTATATTCAATAATCTGTACAAACATTTCAAGAAATCATTCATGGAAAGGATAGAACAGGTTATGTCACCCAGAACTATACAAGGAAAAACTTTAATCTTCAACCAGCTAACACATTAGACAAGCAGTGGACATGGTTCTACCAGGATCCACCTAGAAAAATAACTGCATTCATAATAAGCAAATTTTGCCTAGTTGCACTGTAAATCCAGCTGTTTAACAACATCTCTTAGAATTGTGATTCAACCAAAAATGAATTAATTAACATTTTCAGCTCTACTGACAAAGCCAAAAGGCACTATGCAAATAACAAGCACAAACAACAAAAATAAATAAATCTATTGCATCAAAATCAAGGGAAGATATAAAATAAAATCTAGATGAATTAAAAAATTAATTTATTATGATCATATTAAACATCAGGCCAAGCTTGCAGAAAAAGTACAAGCATGTAATTTTTCAGAAATGACTTCAAATGAATCATGCAACTTGATAAATAAAGCATTTCTTGATAAGGATGAATCATCATATTTTTTGCGATGATATTGCAATGTAAATTAAAGGTCATTGTTCAATATAAATAAGGACCTATCCCCTGGACTATAAAAGGTAATAATTTATTCTCATTTTGCATGAGGCAGAATTTCCTCAAATCAAACAAATTTCCATCATTACAGCTGGTGTATCCATTAACATCTTCTCACACAAAGACGATAAATAAAAAACTTCATGTTACTTTATATTAAAATTGTAACTTAATTTACATCTGCAACTTACATTCAAAAAAAGAAATTTAATTAATCCTGAGAGAAAAAAAGAGAAGTCTAATTTCTTTCCAGCTAACAATTACTATTTAAAAATCATTCACTTTTAAAATATTAGGTTTGCTAGTGAGTGCAGTGTGACGTCAGAAATGAGCTATAAATTTTTGGCATTTTAAAACCGAAGTATTGACCAATTCATAGATGTAATTCATAGAGTTTGAAAAAAATAATAATCCATTTGTTGCAGACCAATCTTAATTACAAAAAAATATGAGAGCAAAATCCTCACACTGATCAATTAAGGATTTGACCACAAATGTAAATTTTACAAAAGCAGTGATAGCTGATATGATAGATATCACTCAAGAACACCATATGCAGATACAACAAAATGTACATGATAGGATTTTCATTGGCATAAATGTAGGTTTTAACACAATGCTTAATTAATTACTATTACATGAAGTTTTCAATGGCTTTAGACTCAGAGGGAAGGAAGTAACTAAAACTAAATTGATGTTTCCCCAAAGAAGGAAAAACAAAATATCTTGGGGGTCTTAAAAAAAGAGAAATTTATCCACTGTGAGGCCAAAATTATTTCCAAGTTAAGAAAAAAGTCATCTTTACACATCCATTCCTGTTTGAGAATATGAAAGAGGAGACTGATGGGTCTGTATACAAACAGTTTTCTGAGCTTTGATCTTTATTCAACAGCTGGAACAATTATGCAGAAAAAGGCAAGAAAAAGGTTTGGTACATTATAATGGCTTATAAGGCATTTTAACCATTTTCTACATTTATCACACATTTGGGTATAATTGCATACATTTCAAGCAAAAATTAATAATTTCTTCATTCAAGATAACTCAACAGTTTGTATTTTCATATTCTGGATAAACTGCTAGTAAAGGAAATGTTTTCCTCCTTGTTTTTTTTTCCCCTCTACTTTCTTATTCAAACCTTCCTTTACTTCTCAGATGTCCCCTGTACTCTTTCAAACTTACCTGACAGACGTAGTGACTCCATCATGCGAACAACAACCATCAAAAGAAAATCAGACCACAAGAACAATGGACCCAAGGCCACATTTTGCGTTAAGTTGCCTATAGATTCTTGATTTTCTGCCATCAGTGCCACCAGCTGCTCTCCAAAACTGGCCCAAAGCATGGTGCTATAATCATAATGTAACTGCTTTGTTGTTTCAGAGTCTAAGGGTGCGTTCCACTGAACACGCTTGTTGAGTCTGGGTGATCCTGGACTTGAGCTGTGCCTGAGAATGCCATGACCCTCCTGATGATGCAGTAATGAACTTGTTGACCCTCCAGCCTCCTCAGCTGTTGATGTCCCCTGCAGATCAGCATCTTCACTCCTTGAACTTGAGGTCAGCTGCTCTAATGGCGGCAACTGAATCACATTTTTCCTCTCACCACTAACATGGCGGCTTAAGATAAGTGTTGTTGAGGTAGCAAGTTGTGATATTAAATTACTGAAAAATTTCTGCTCCTCTGAATCAAATGAAAGCAATGGAGAGTCTGGCTCGAGTTTCAGGAGTGGGATTTGGTTGCGGCTTAACACTGACAACACTCCATTTTTGAGTGTACCTCCCTCAAGTCTTACATTCCCTCCAGTACATACCACCCCAAAGTCTTTCCATTCGAAGTTTGTAGCAAAGTCGTACTTTAACGTCCGAGTAACCTCCTGATGTTCGCTTACCAATTCATAAACGTGACCGGCCAAAATACGAGAACGTTCACAAGCAACGCCATTCAAAAGTTTGTTCAGTGACAATAAACAAACACTAGAAACAGCTGTAGTTGAAACTGCAGTTTCTCGACCCTTCGACTGCACAAAATTTCTAATCTCGCTCACACTTAAAAGTTCTCTTTCATCGCTCTGAAAATTTCTAGTGTACTCAAAAAGGCGATTGAAATCTTCAATTCCCTGGCAAACAGCACTTAAACCTTGCTGACTCAACCACCATTTGCATTTTTCGGCAAGGCGCAACACGCACGATAAAATAATTGAAATGAGCGATATACTCGTATCTGCTAATTGCGAGAGCGCTTTATTCACCACTTCCAAGTCCTCCAGCATGTCTGGCACACATTTGCGAAGCCATGGATCGGAAAAGATAAGTTTTCTTATCGCCAGTCGGTACATACATTGTGTTTTTGCTGCATGGCAAATGTCGTGAAATCTTTCAACTTTGAATGGGAACTCGCTTGGAATTGGCATTTCACCATCTAAATAGGCCATATACTTTTCCACTGTTTCTTCTAGCTCTTGTACAAACTTAGCGGAAGATTCAAGGCGTACCAGGCACTCTCTCGCCAAAACAATCTTTGAGCGATCAAGAAATTTCTGGCCGATATCGGTGAAAATCTCGCACAAAGGAACACCTTGCTCAAAATGCCCAAAGCTGCCGGGAACATGTTGAGGTTTCAAGCACGAATTTCTGGTTAAACTTACACTTTTGAACGCTTTTTTGAGAGTCCAAATGTTCTTTTTTATGTCCGTTGGGGCAATTTGAGTAACAGAGAGTCTTTGGAAAGAGTTGTTGATGCCATCGTTGCTAGCGGCTGCCGAAGACGAGCTGAAATTCATAGCCCTTCAAAAAGAACTAGGCTGCCCTGCTTTCTTCCTTCAGCGGCACAACAGATTGGCAGAAAAAGCATAATCTTGGTAGTAGGACGTCTAACACAGGACTGGTTCGACAATAAAGATCTACATGGTAATAAAAAAGTTTATCTGTTTAGCGTTCAGTCAGTGCCTGATCTACCATCTTTGTTGATAATAACAAACTTCATGCCCAGTTCATCCGCGCGCTAATCCACCGGAAATAGAAAATTCCTAATTCCAAAGAAAAATTTCAGAAACCATTTTCTACCTCCAATTCTCCGCCGAAATAACCTGTCATAAGGCTAGACTTTTTGACGAAGACGATGGAAGTCAATACAGAATTAAAAAGCTAAAAATGCAAATTGAAACCAAGCCGGGGGGAATAAAAGAAGCCATAATTAGCAATGAACGCCCTTAAAATAAAGGAAAGGTTTTCTTTCGTTCAACTTACATTTTAATGAGTTGTTTTCTGGTGATTCTGGGAGGGAGAGATCTTGCTTACTATCTCGGCCAAGGAAGCTTGAATAATCTTTGAATTCGCTATCGTTTAAAAAAAAAAGAATATTATACACGAAAAAACAAAGCGTCTAAAATTTGCCAACAAAGAGCAGCAACTACTTGTACAACATCGGCACGATTTTTAAATGTCTTTCAAAAACTTCACCCTAAGATATGAATTAGTGGTCAATATAGAAAAGAAATTAATTGTGGTTAATAACCTCGAGCTCTATAATATGCCATTAACTACGCTTTTTCAAATTGAAAAGACTCGCGTCGATTGATCCCTTCCATTAAAACAGGTGTACGCGGATAAGCAAGGCGAGAGTTTGAATTCAGCAAGATGATGTGAGACACACCGATTTCTTTTACATTAACAGATTAAAATTGAATTCGATTGGAGCGGGAAAAAGTGAAGAGGTGGTCTCTAGGTGATGAATCGATGCCAGTCCAATACAATGACCGGATGGATATTTCAAGAGCACGATGCTAAAAATAGACCTCAATAACCACCTGGTGACCATCCGTGCATAAAACACTTCAAAAACCCATATTTCATTTCTTTTCCTTTAATTTTCCCTTCGTTTCAAAGCGTAAAAAGCTGACCTACGCTCAGTCATAGAAAAAAAAGCTTCACTGATTCAATGAAGCAACAATACACTAATATCGATTAGTTTATTTTCTAGTGTCACCCAGTTTTAGCGCTCTTTAACAATTCACGTGAAGACCATGTTTCCATTTGCAGTACATCCAGTTCTAAGATATATTGCATAACACTTTGCTGAATATTTCTGTGTTCAAAGAATAGCTCAAAGCAGAATTTGTTTTACCGTTCTATTTTGGTATGGACTTTGAACTAAGTCTGTATTGAGTTTCATCTCTGGGCCCGAATAGAATTATTTCTTTTTTTACTATCGATTGCAGATTTCTTTGAACCAAAAATTCAAATAAATTATCGACAGCTCGCAAAAATTGAAATGACTGGAACAAATTTCCAACGTATCTTAGGAGGAAAAAAAGCGAAGTACTCTTGACACCAGTAACACGAAATGAAACACTTAACAGCAAATTTGACATGAAAGTTATTACGAAGATCCAAGGAAAACGTCAAAATGGCAGAACCAGAGTTATGTGTATGAACAACTGGACAATATATTATAAGTCGTTCCATTCTACTTTATTCATCATTGTATTTCCAACTCGGATCTATAATGCATCCATCTTCCCAATTATAGCAACGTGCCGCTTAAGACTGGTTTCAAATCATTCTGCTAATTAACATAATAAAGATTTTAACATGTACACAGCTGAACCTCACAAAAGTTATAGGGTAGAAGGTAAACAATTTTTTTTTTCGCCAGGTTTACCGTACGAGACTACACCGCAACTGCCATAGTATTGACAGTGACTGAGATAAAAATAGTGACCTCTTTTGGCTTTGACTCCCTGAGGTGAACAACTCCAAAGAGATTCGTTTACTAGTACAATTTTTTGTGCCGCGAACCAGAGAAAGGTTGCTCCATATTGGATGGAATGTCAAATTTTAATTTTTTTTCAGGAATTCTTTTCACACTCAAATCATGTAGCTTTGCAAGTCTTATGGATGTATCTACCTATTTATACCAGTGAGAAAAGGTCGCTAAAACCCCAAATGTTCGGTGTGTTGAATAATTAGATTTAGAAAAAAAAAACATGAAACTAACGCTGCTGACATAGCACTACTGAATGGGTTGTCAAAGCGTTTGTGGTTCAGATGATCCATTAAGTATGAAGGATGAAAGGAACTGAAACAGATAACAGATTACTATTGTTTGTGTCCAAAAATTAGTAGGCTGGACTGCTTAAATTGCAATGCCAACATAACTAACTGCATCAAAACTACTCTGAGTGTTGTGAAACAATTGTTGTCATATAACAAAGTAACTAAATACAGTGAATAGCTTGACAGTAACCAGTGGCTAGTGGAAAGGGAGAGGGACACTGGTTCATAATGCTTTGGTATAGAGCTGTCAGTAAATCTTTCTGTTATAACAAACCAGTAAAAAGAGCACTTCTTTCATACAACAATGTAAAGGATACAGACTAAAGCTTATGGAAACGTATAAATAAACATCTTTAGCAAATAAATGTTACTGTTTTGAGTTGTGTCATACAAAAGGTTTCCCACAGCAAAAACAGCACATAAAGATTGAAATACCAATATATACAGTGAAATTTATTTGAATCATTGCTGTTGCTTTAAGTCCATGAATAATAAATTTAATCTTATCCATCCTCTTCATTTGGTAGGAGTTCCCAAATTCATTTTTTTTTTCCAGATGTCACAATTTTGTTTTCAAATAAATGGAAAACCTTGATTTTCATACCAAGACTTTTCCTTGGAAAAATTAAAAAGGTCTAAAGTATTGTCTTTAAATAAGGCTAGAGCTCCACTGCAATTAATCCTTTCAACCCTAAGAATGACTAGCACCTAATTTCTCCATACAATATCACCCATGAGTCACACATTAGGGTCACAAGAATGAGGGAAATGATCATTAACTAAAGAAGCTTTAAGCTGTTGAACCAATTCTCCCTGTCAGCACTATAGGACATGTATACAGAACAGTATGGAGAATATACACACAGATATTGGGGTTTAAAGAGTTAAGATAGTAAATTCTTTAACTACAACCAATTGCCACAATTTAAACAAAAACTAATCAAGAAAAGATGACACAGATAAGATATTGACACAAACAAATGATTTGACTTGACTTTTCCTTTTCTACGGGTAACATTTTATTTTCATCTTTTTTTTCCTTAGTTTTCTGCTGAACTTATGTCATATATGACAGGATACAGTGTTCTAATCATTATAAACATTGACAGCACAGACTGTGTTGAAAGTTTGCCAGCATCTCTCACATAATGATATCCTAGCCTTAGCAATGACTGGTGTTTGTTACAGAATAAAAAATCCCACTCTGTTAGCAGTCAACATCTGATAGCTGTGCCAACAGACATGAATACTCCAAATGTTCCTCCTCCTTGAAGCATGATCTTGCCAACACTACTGACTAACTCTCTTCCTCTTAGTCCATATCTGGCGGGGAAAGAATAAGTGTCAAGTTTTCTAGCTTTCTGCAGTGTTTCTTTCACTTTTCTAGCAATCAATCTAAAGAGTGATACTCTGAGTAGGACCTCTGCTTATAAACATGATCATCTGGACAATTTCAGTTACTAAAATCTTGCTTCACAATAATCTCCTTTGTCATAAAAGTAATATAAAAATGCTACAATGCAATTGAGCCTGCCCACTGATGTCAAAGTTTTGTTTACTGCCTAACCAGGTTGTGACCAAAGACAAAATAACTAACATTTGTACAACCCCACAAACCCTCCCCCTCCTTCTATTTTATTGACGTCAAAATGACACATCAAATGACACATTTCGGTATTCACATATCTTCATCATTACTTTGGGAGGGGTATGGTGGTTAGCCGTTTCTTTTGATTCTATCCAGGATCTTAGGAAATTTATACATAAAACATTTCCATATAAACACTTTATCTGGAGTGTAACTGTGATGAACTTGCATCGAAAGACATCTTTTTCATCTCAGTAACCGGGCTGCGATTTCCATATGAACAGATGAAAATTAAGTACAAGTAAAATAGAGTGAAAGAATTCCTCTAAATCTAGGTTTAGGTACTTATAACGCTACAGGTCCAAAAGTTGTAGTAGTAATATTAGCATCTTACTTGAACGCAGAATAGGTTCCAAAGAGCGCAGCAGAGCTCATTCCAATAGCAAATCCGATCATGAAGCCAACTTTAACCCGGTCAAAACAGCTTGGCTGAGGTGCTCTTTGCATACTTATCCTCTTCTTTATTTCCTAAGAGTTGCTAGTGTAAACTTGAAAGATACAGAATGAGAACAGCAAAAACAGCCCCACATGCGAGGAGAGATGACTGCCCGTTAGTTCGTCAGAAGATTGGACATGAGCTTTCGCTAGCTCGTAAGAAAGAAACCGCTGGGCATTCCATCGCGTTCGCTTTGTTCCCATTCCTTCTCGTTTTCGGCGATGATGTTTCGCTTTTCACGAGAGCTTCCGGGATTTGTGTATTTAGGAAGGCTTTTATCTTTAACTTCGCTTAGATTTTACAGGAAAATGAATACAGAGGTAGTTATTGACAAAAGGATACCTGATAAGTGAGTATATATTTTTATTACCTCTTTATATCAAAAGGAACTTTGACCAAGTTGGTTTGTGTGGTGTTCTTCATGAGTCTTCAATCTTCCATTATAGATTGATTAAGTGTCTCCACACTTAATCACCCCTGAATCAAACATAAAGTCACGAGAGTAAATGAAATGATCACCAACTGTAGCAGCTGTTGACTGTTGATTAAATTTCCATGTCAGTACCTTAAAAAATGTGTCGAGAACAGCGTGGAGAAGATGCATACTGACGTTATGGTGTAAAAGGCTTAAAGAACGTCATCAGTCATTATCATCATAAAATGGAATGGTGTTATGCCTTTCTAAAAGACATGACTATTATAAAAGATACCATAAAAACCATCTGGATATGAGAAGGAACTACTTTTTCAGTGAACTGTATCACGATTTAAGTAAGCTGGACCTGCATGCTACAAAATTGATAACTATCCACCTATGTAGAGAAAGATGTTTTTTTCGTCTTGTCACGAGCACGCTATCCTCCTATTTCTTGGATTAGTGGCATACTTCAAAGGGCTGAGACTCAAAAAGGCATCTTCAGAAACTTTTGACGGTGGCCAATTTAATTTGACGGTTGCCAATTCATTTGACAAAACTAAACTATCTTGTAGTGCCCCCCCCCCCACCAATGCAGCACCTCTTTTTCTTCATAATCTTACCCCCTTCTGACAAACCAAGTGGTCAAAAATGAACATATTTTTGTTCACATATAATGTTAAAAGACAGGTTTGTTTGATGTATTTTAAAAAAACCTTTTAAAACCCCTTGAATTTGTTAGGAAATGTTAAGATTGTTTGTCAGCAATGATCAGCAATGATCAGCAATGACTTTGATTTATTTTATAACAGGTGGAGAGACTATAAACCATGTGGGGTACCCATACCAGGAGAGAGAATTATTGCATTTAAGACACCTTTGTCACATGTAAGGTGAAATAACAACATGTTAGTGATTTCTGAAATGAAGTATTGCTCATGTTGTCAAGATATCAGTACTGAAAACAATCACCAACTGCTGTCTTTTTTAGCACTACCCTACATCTTAGAACTGACAAGGCTTTGAATTTACTTCGAAATACTATCTTGTTGCAGCGATATGACAATGAAAGTGATCAAGACAATGGAATCAAACCGCATGAAAGGTAGGTACAGTGTTATTTACTAGACATGTGGATGCTAATTTTTTAAAATTTCTGTTCACATTTTTTCATCACACACTTTAAAAACTGCGCTTTCAATATCTTTCATCAGTTTTTAATCTTTTTTAAGGTTTACACCGATGGATCTGCTGAATTGCCTCAACCGAAAGCATATAAAACTTGGAATGGTTGTGGACTTCACTAACACTTACAGATATTATAATTACAGGGTATGTAGATCAAAGAATAATGTTAGCTTCTTTTTTTCATACATATTTTTCATACATTTAATACAGCAACTCTGTGGGAGGAAAAATAAGTTAAAGGTTATTGCAATGGTGTTCACATTGAAAGATCTTGAAAATTAGACAAGCTTTGTTGTTAGGCATCATGATTTCTACCAAAACAGTAATAGATTTATTGATCATATATTGTTAAAGGAGCTCTCTGACCATGGCATACTTCATTGCAAGATCAAATGTGTTGGAAAAGAAATTCCAGATGAAAATGTGGTAACAAGGTAAGGAATAATTTGATTAATGGAATTGGGATCTGGATAACTGTTCTTGGTACATTTAAAAAGCAATGTTACATTCTTCCAAAGGTTTAAGACTGAGGTCTGCAGCTTTCTGGATAAGAGGAGTAACCCAGGTGAGAAACATAATGGCGCAAACGGTTTACTCCTTTAGTCTGTTGAATCCCATATGATATGTTACCATCTTTAATTTTTCTCCAGATGCTGTTGTTGGGGTCCACTGTACTCATGGTCTAAACAGAAGTGGTTATGTAGTTTGTAGGTGAGAAGAAGTGACATACAATAGTACAAAAAGTGATTTCATTATGTGATTGGGAAATTCTATTTCAACGAAGAACAACATTTGAGTTTCAACTGATGTAATGAATCCACTTGTTCATTTTAGATATCTTATTGAATGCAGAGGATACACCCCTGAAGAGGCTATCAAAGGTACAATAAGCTGTGAGGTCAAAGACAAAATCTTTTCAGATAACGCTACAATGAGTGTTACACAAGTTGAATAATCAGAGATTGATTCTCTTTTGGGTGACTTTGCTTTGTGATTGGTCCTGAAAACTCCCGCTACTCTCTCAACCAATCAAATTCAAAGCTAACACTACTACGACTTGGTCGCCCTCGTTTTCCCGCACAGTCGCCTTGTTTTACTTTGAGTTCTCATTGGCTCTCAAAGGTATTTTTCTTTCTTCTGATTGGCTGTTGTGGTTACTCCAGTTTTGGTTTTACGATATTCAATCGAAAAGCGCTCTACTGAGTAAACCTCTCATTTACCTAAAAGGAAAATAGCTATTTTCGCCGTCATCTCTTCTTTGACCAGATTGTTTCTGAAAGTAATCTGCTAACTTTCTTTTTATTTCCAACCTGTTGAGACCTACTGTTGTGATGAATGAATTTAGAATAACACTTAGAAACTTTTTTTGTTCTTAATTACTTTTCCAGCATTTAATAAAGCTCGAGGACATGATATGGAGCGTGAGAATTACCTGGAGGATCTTCATAAAAAAATCCCCGAATTGTGAGTAAACTATTCAATTTCTTTTTACACGATTTTGTTACGCTAAGATAAATGCACGTCACAAAGTAATGTATGGCAAGCCACTTCCTGCATACCATTTAAATTTGTATGAAAATTTGTCACTTTTAATAGCGATTTCACGTCTTTCGTTCGTGTTGGGGATAACCGGAAACAGGACGAAATTCAATTTGACAGACCAAGACATCTCCATACCAACTCAAGATATGCCTCAAGGAACGACGCATTTGAAGAGAACAAAACAAACTCGAGATCTTCTAACTACATCAGGGGAAGTACAAGTGGTTACAACGACTTCAGATCGCGTTATCAACAAGTCGATCGTTATCAACCTACAGGCACCCCAACCCAACGTAGACATTACACGGAAAGGAGGTTTAGAAGTGAACGACACAGGGAAGATAATCATGATACTTATTCTCGCTACGATGATTCTGATAGAATTTATTATAATCCTGAACGTGACCATCGTAATCATCCCGAAAGGAATTATAATGATCACGGTGATGGTTATTTTTATTCTGATAATTACTGTGAATATGGTAGGGAATATGAAACATATGCAAGCTCCAGTCGACCTAGAAGAAGTCGAGAGGACTCTTACAGGCGCGATCACGTAAAGAGAACTTCCTTAGTTAGGGATCGACCGAAGCCCTACACTCAGCGCAGAAAAGAACGTTCTTAAAACTAAAAGGTCAAGGTTCATTATTATTTTTACTTCAAAGGGCTTAGATGATCTAGTGTGCCGTGATGGGTTTCCTAAGTCATGCCACCTTCACGAACGATCAGATTCAAAACTAGAATCAATCGCGACTTGTTTCCATTCCTTTCACCCAGCTACAGGTAGTTGGTTAGTTGTTGCTTCCAGTCATTTGGATTACTTCTGGTTATTGCTTTTCGACAGCGCCCTAAGATTCGTGTATTGCAAGCTACCACATTTTAATCGAAAAAAATTTTAATCGCTCAGTTATACCTTAATATTAGTCTTTTTACTTTAAACAGTTCCCAGTTTAGAATATAAGCTGAGTTTTTCAATAGAAAACTGTCACGACGTTGAAAATGATTTTTTTAGTGCTAGTAATAGGTGAGGATGCTTTGATATCTTAAGATTTTATGATATGTATCTTATACTTAGAGGTGGAGTGGAAAATATAGCTGAAAACCGACCAGAGTAATTTTATTTAAATCTGTATAAATACGTTTTCAAAAGGATTGGGTATGAGAAAGAAAAAAGCTAACAACTATTTTCCCTCTGAAACGCTAAATTCTTTGGACAGATGCAGTCACCCAGATAAAAAGAGAATTACTAATTAAGTCCTCAAGACAGTTTGAAAAATTTACTTCTGGTCTACTTGCTCTGATTTTGGTTATTTAAAAACAAAGCTGACATTTTAGAAGTGATGGAACACTTAAAAACATTTGAACAGATGACACTGAAATACAAACTGGCAAAAAAATTACAGGCAACGTAGCTTTATACATTTGAAATCAATACTGAAAGGGCTGGTGTACTCACGAACATGGAAAGCAGAGTATTCTTTGACTATTATATGTTTGATTATTATTAAAAGTAAATTACTAATTTCAAAGTCTCGGGCACCGCTGCGGAGCCTTTCGGGTATACAATGTGACTGTCACGTGGGGGCAAGAAATTCTGACAGTAAGCTTCCCTTCCGGGAGAGTAGAGCATTTGGACTATCCATTTCCACAATCCTCCCTTGTTCCATAACAACAACGCGGTCGTGGTGCAGAATTGTTTCCAGTCCAATAGGTCCATACGCAACCGTGATCACTGAAGAATTGGCAAACTGGTTCTTGACAACACTATGGATTATGCGCAATGTGGTGAAGTCGACGCCTGAGACAACTCCATCAAAAATCACGATTTTCTTCTTCTGTAGTATTGCACGAGCGAGAGACAACAACAGCAGCCGAGAATTGGAGAAGTTCACAGACTGTGTCATCATGTAGTCTAGCCCCCCAGGCAGTCCTTTCACATATTCTTTCATTGTCACGGTATCCAAAACGTTCCACAACTCTTCGTCTTCATGTTTCTCTTCCGGGTCAAGGTTTTTTCGTATTGAAGCCGTAAAAATGAATGGTGTTTGCTGAAGTGTGCAGAAAGCTTTCCTCGCTTCTCGGAGACTAATCGTTGCTAGTGAAATATCATCGACCCATACCTCCTGTTGGGATCCTTTTGACAGAAGCATAAGTTTAGAAGCAAAGGAGATCGTCTTTGCGTTTTTTTGGCCTATGATACAAACTTTCTCTCTTGGCTCAATGCTTAAAGACAACGTTTCAAATGATACCCGTCGACGACCGTAGGTGTGAGACAATAAGGAATCGCTGATACACACGGCGCCCTCCTTCGGCCAATCTTCGGGTGGCTTCGTGTCATTCTGGTGACTAGACTCGGAGCGCATGTCATGGAAACTCATCAATCGGGCCGCTGAAGTCATGTCCTGTTCTATGTTTTTGACGAGAAATGGAATAATAGCAATTCCTACAACAAGCTGTCTGACAAATGTCAACGACAGAGCGACAAAAGCTGAAAAAGAAAAAATTCGTTCCTGGTCAGCCAGCACTATGTATGTTGGTAAGTGCTTCAAAGAAGTTAGTTACTCAATACTGTACCTTCAAGCCCTAGCTGGGGTAAGCTGGTTTTGCCTCAACGATTCCCTTCAATTTTTCCCGGACAAAAACTAAAAGTAACTTAGTCACATCTGACAAAATGTTTGCAAATAAGCTGGAGAATTAGCTACAAATGCTTCGGTTCCAGTGGAGAGGGGGGGCAACAGTTCTTCAATGTAACCCCATCTAATATCTCCTTAATACCACTAAAATATTCCTGACGGAAGGCGGTCATATCTACCGGGTTCCATTAGAGTCCGTTAACTTTCAGAAGTCAAGTTGGGATGCAAGTTAAGCAAAACTTCGACGTAGTCATTTAGGAGTTATTTAGTTTCATTTATCAGTCAATCATGACTTACACTTACTGTTGTTGCTTGTGAAGATGACTACCACAGTGGCAACACACATGGTCAATGACATCACAGCCAAATGTCTCATTGCCAACCATTGTTCCGCCGCTGACCGCATGCATACTGCCGTCATGTGCTGATTTTGCAATCTGGATAATCAGAAAGCTTTACGAGTTAGCAATACGGCACACGGTACGATCGCGAACCTCTTGGAGATCTGTGAAAATGCGTCGAGATATCCAGAAGAAAATGGGACGGTCCACGCCCGACAAGAGGCCTAATTTCGAGGAAACGAGGCGCGGAGAGAACAGGAGTGCGAGACAATGGGACTTCACTGTACGGATTTGTTTAAAAGAAACATGCCGGGTGGGGGTCTTATGATTTTGGTTTTGTTACGATAAAATTTATCTGATCCCCCCCTAAGGTTCTGTAGTATTTTTTCTTCTCCCCTGTTCACACTCTGTTAGTGACGATCGATTCTACCCTCCGTCCCCCCCTGAAAGCCATGTGATCTCCCCGCAAATCCTCCAACCTCCCTTCCCCTCCCTAGGCAATAATCAATGACTGTTCCCTAGCTGAAACGTTTGTCCGACTGAAGTAAAATGAATTCCGAAATGATAGACAGGATATCCTCAATTACATGGAGGTAGGTCGTGACATCAATAACAAAACTTACCTGAAAAACTCTTTCATGAAGTAGCTTTCCTTTTGAGAGGCTCGAATGGTGACCGCACCCATCATAGTATCCGAAAAATATATCATCAGGGGCGTTAAGGTGTTGTTTTCATTATCTCTGGCCTGTCGCTCCAACCAGAGATATTTTTTCCCAACCACAAATGAGATAAGAGATGCGGGTATGAAAGCAAGCACCGTCCACGGAGCTACTAGCGTGATCATAACAGCCACTGCAGCATGTTCTACCACCGACTGTGCCAACTGCAGAATGTCGGAGGGGAGCTTCTCGTCCAAACATTCTACATCTTTAGAAAATACTCTTAGGAAAGCATCCTTCTCTTCGTTTTCAAAATGTTGGACTGATGTCTTAAGCAGTGTAGAAATAGCTCTATCGTGGATGCGCATGGACGATCGAAGGCCACACAAGAGCAGAAACAGAGCTCTAAGAAGAAGCAGTATGACATAGGCTCCCACAACTATTGCAGACAAACTGAAGTGGTGGTAGTGGTAATCACGAGATAGATCTGCAATTCGTGCAAACCATATTCCAAGACCTGCGAGGACGACTGAAAGGGGAAAACAACGTTATCGAATACAGCTTTTAGCATATAAATATTGTGGATTATTTATCATTTTAAAGTAGGGTTCGAAGCAGATATTTCTGAATAGACATTCCTTACCTCCTGGAGTTAATGTTAACAGGAAACCTACAACTGACAGTGATGGAAGCCATCCTGTTTGCCTCGCATATCTCAGATAGATAGAAAATCCTTCAGCATCTCGATCAGTGATATTTTTGACGCTTGGTTCCCTCAAACTCGCGGAAAGGATTCCACCAGACAAGGATTGTTGGACCACTCCACTGTTTTCTTTCTCATGGATAGTGTCTGTCCTCAGCCACGTGAGATTTTCACCAGACTCCCGAATGTTATCGAGTGATCCTTCTCTGATAATAAGGCCATCAACCATCAGCAACACACGTGGACACCTCTCGAGGAAACTTGCTCTACCCGTCACCACGACACGCAGACGAGACGAGAGAAAACTTAGGATGCAATCATCGAAGACCTGATTGGCTACTGAGATGCTTACGTGACTAAGAGGATTATCCATTAGGACGATGGACGCTGATGAGTAAGATGCGCGTGCTACGTTTATGAGTTCCTGCTGACTAAGTGCTAGTTTGTAACCACCATGGCCAATTTTAGTCATATCACCATCCGGTAAACACTGCATGGCTTCATTCAGTTTACAAGCTCTTAAAACAGCTGAATAGCTTTCTTTGATGTAAGGTTCCCCGAAAACAATGTTTTCCCGAACAGTTCCTGAAAATATCCATGGCTTTTGGCCAACGTAGGCGAGGTCACCATGTTGGACTATACGCCCCCTTGAAAGTGGAACTTCTTTCAGTATAGCCTCACAGAACAGTGAAGTAACGGCCCCTTCCTTAGGGGGCCCTGTGAGTGCGACAAGTTGTGCACCTTCGCAGTTAAAAGTGACGAAGTTTAGATCAATATCCACCAACTCACATTCGTGTTCGCAGCAAACTCCAATCAAAGAAAGACTCGGAGGTTTGTCGGAGGGAGGGACCTCACTCGTACGACTTGCTACGTTTTCGTAAAACGATGACAACGGAAAGTCTATTAGGAGAAAACTCTCTATTCTATCGAGCAGACCAAGTGTTCTTACAAGGACATCTGTTCCTCTGGCAAAAGATTCACCGCATGAAGACTCGAGTATGTACATTACTAATATGATCAAGAATACGTTCTCGTGGGTGAGTTCTTTTCCACTCATCATTAATGTTACTATGGAAACTAAAGAGGCTATGATGGGAACGGCTTGTTGAACGGATACAAATGCACCAAGAGCCAGCGTTTTATTCCTGATGAAAGGCAGCTCTTTCCTGGAAAAAAACACGCATATTAAGAATAAAATTAAGAAAACAAGTAAGTAAGGAGGGTCTGTTCGGTTGCTTAATTAGCTTTTGCCTGTGGACTCAACATGTCACTGAGACATTAACAGTTTGCCTTACCGCTTGACTGACCAGAGGCTGGTTGACAGATAACTCAGTTTAAAAGTTACCGGATTGGTTGACTTAATGACCGACTCATTTACTGACTGACTGACTGATCAATTGACTGAATGACTGACTGACTTACTGCATGACTGATAGACTTACTGACTGACGAAGATACTGACTGACGAAGATACTGACTGACGAAGATACTGACTGACTGACTGACATGCTGACTGACTGACTGACCATCCGACTAATTGTAAATGGAAAGTATCCGTGACACAAACCTGCGACTATTCCCGAGCAGTTTCTCAAACACTTCTTCCCACACGTTCATTTTTATAACTCTTATACCACAAATAACCTCGCTCAACAGGGCGATCCGCTGGTCACTGAAAAACGCAGTGCCGAGGTGCATTTTTTTGTACACTTTCCCCACCCCACAGCGTAAAAATGTACAGAACATGATGTAGGAAACTCCCAACAGAACCTCCCAGCCAACCATCACAAGCAATAACAAAGACATAATCAGTAGCTCGACAGGCGCGGTGAGGAGGAATGGTACCGAATAGACACATGAACCAATAGAATCCAAATCTTTGGATATCAAGTTAACCACGTGACTACTCGTATAATCAACAAGAGAAGTTTTCTTGAGGCGCATAACCTGAAAAGCAAAGTTGTAGTTAGTTTAGAATCTTTCAGGTCTTGATTTGATCTATTATCAAAATGGATGCAAAGTGATCAGTTAAAAAGTATATCGATCTTTCTACCGATTCACCGAGTGAACACATGCGGAGTGTAAGAGGAAGAAAAGAAAAGTTTATAAATCAGAAGCATTCGCGTGTTTGTATAAGGATTACCTTATCAAATACCAAACCATCCAGACCAGATTTTACCGACCCACTTGTCATTTCAGCAGAGTAAGAGTAATGACTCCGCACCAGACCCTCAACCGAGACAGACAGCCAATAGCCAGTGAGTGCGGCCCAATACCACGGTACAGGCGAAACGAACAATGGGTCTGAGGTGAACACAAACGAGAACATGGTTGGTTGTAGAATACGTGCACAAAGAATGGAGATCTGAAGCAAGAACAGTTGAGTGAAACCCTCAATTTTCGGAAAAGAGAGGACGACTTTCCACAAACGAGGCGCTTTGTCCCGCGCTTGTGCTGATCGCGCGTGTTTCATCCATATGTCACGCAGGTCTCTCCAGTTCCAGAAGGTCGAGCGTTGCCCGGGAACGAGCCTATCAACTGATTCCTGGGCACTATTCAATCTTCCCAGTACCCAGCTGAACGTCACACGTGACCAAAATGATAGTTCTTCTGGGGCATCTTTCTTGTTTCCCTGTGGTACCTCCATAGGGACCTTGTTATAAGAGTACTGAGGTGTGGCATTGAACATAGCGCCTTTTTTAACATCGGAATCTGGAAAAAAAATCCCATTAAGAGCTCGTTGGTATAACCAAAACAATGATTTTATTTTTAGTACTGTCAATTAGGCGAAGAGCTTATAATTCACAAAAGAAAATCCTTCGATCAATCAACATATGAGACAAGACTGACGGAGCGGCATGAATATTCAATACAATAAAGGGGTAAACTTCTAAAGAAACTGTGTTGCTGCGTCGGTGGGAGAGTATAAAAAGGTTATTTGGTATTATCAAACGAGCTAATATCGTAAGGTGGCCACCGCAAAGGGTTTCAAAGCAGACATTTCTGTGTTAGCCCTTCGTCAGAGCGAATCATTCGCCAATTTACGTTACCAACTAAGTTGGTAACACCACATTACCTTGCTTCAGACTCCATTGTCATAACAATGCATGGTGCTATGGTCTGCTGATCAAAAACAACAATGCTTTTTTTTCCAAGATCAATCTTCGAAGATCTACCCTATATATATATAGACAAATTTAGAAGAGAAATCCATTTTCTCACTTTTAATTAATAGAAGACCGATAATAAATGACTATCCAACAGCCGCGAGGAAAAATTCCTGATGTTTGACTTAACTTATGGCTTGTCGTTAGACAAATGGACCATGACAAAAACTGTAGATTCTTCGTTTATGTAAATTCTTCTGTAAAGGAGCAACATGATTAGTCCCACTCTATCTTTTCCAATAAAGCAAAGAAAGAGAGGTTTCAAGGTTGCAAAGAGAATGCAGAAACATTTGCTATTAAAACGGTAAAAATATAATGATTGTATTTTAAGCGTTTTAAGTTAAACGTCGCTCCGTTCTGAAAGTGGTATGTGTGTCGATGACCTTGCAGTCGGGAGAAAATTTTTGCCATCTTAAAATGTTGATGCTAGATTTTGATGGCGGTTTGAAGCTTACCCAGTGCACTAAATCGCTGGAAGTTTTGAACGAAATTTTGTTTCATGCGATTTTTAGAGTGAAATTTTTGCCTTTTATTTCTAAGCTTTTCATTGTTGGGGATAAAATGAAGACGCATTTATAAGTCATAGGGAACTAAATTACCTCAGAGATGAATTCCAATGGGGTCAAGTCTAGTCCATCGTGGTACTCAAAAAGGTATTTCTGATCAGTGTATTTTGTTAGGATGACAACTGCGATAGCGTCCAGTACTCAAAACTAAGAGGTTCTCTAAACAATCTTCACACGCTTCAGTCCTGCACGAAACATGACAAAGGAGAATAACTTGGGAAATCCCTCGGGTAACCTTTTAAGCTTTTCGCTCAATTGGCATTGTCCATCTGGCTTCTGTGAGCTCTTCAGTTGGCCACTCAGTTAAAAAGGACTGATTAAAAGAGACGGATTACAAATACGCTTAAATAGTTTGGCAGACAAAAGATGCTTTCTAAAAGTTTTGTTTAATCATCGCAAAGTCTGTGGGGTTTTGCAGAATTTGCTGAAGGTTAATTACAATTCAAGCTGTCAGCTCAATATAATAGCTGTAGAATAGGACGCTGCATTTCCCTTTTAGTCAAATGCGTCAATTGTGTTGGGTTTGTACTACCTGTAAGAATGCTCTCCGCCTGGGAAATGGTAAGTAAGAAGTTGATAAACTCTTCTACGGTAAGCTTTACCTTCCCCCTGCGATCAGCTACAAATTCCTGCGCCCACTCTCCGATTCACCTCATTTTTTAATATTATCCCCACCCCCACTTTCCGTTACGTCACCTGCGCTAGTTAAGCTCATTTTAAAGAGCGCGTTACTCAATTTTTGTTTAAAAATCCCCACCAAAGTTTGTTCTGTCCTCTCTCTCCCACCGCGTGCACCTCGGAGCTCATTTTTAAGGTCTCACAAGACGCGCAAAATGAAGAATACGCTCTCTTTCTCGGGGAAGGCGGGGGAAAGGCTGGATCAACCTGCCATTACCTGTTTTTTTGGCGCATGCGAAAGACCGATCCGATTTGAACAATAAATTACTTCTACATAAAATATAAACCCTCAATTTTTAAGGAAATGAAGGTGGTTTTAATTTCTGCCGGGAATGATACAGTTAAATGTTTAACACCTTGGAAAAAACATGTCTTTGAAAAATTCCAATAATTTAAACAATACATAGAAGTTAAAAAAAAAACTATCCCTTTGCGAAGAATTTAAAAAGGACCTTAAACGATGGTTGCATGTTTTAAACTGCATTTAATACAGCGATGAAATCTACAGTTATAAAATAAACCCCTCAAACAACACTGAATTACATGTATTTCAATCAGATATTCCTAAAAGCTGCAAGGAATTAAAAAATTAACTAATCTCACATTAAACTGTCATAATTTTCAACCATACAGATCATATTCCATACTTGTATCAATTTCATAAATTTATATCAGACAAATGGAACTAAAAACAATTTGTAAAATTTATGCAAAAAAAGTAATTACGATTTGGTAGGAAGTTTCATTTCCTGCATATTACTGCATCCAATTTCCCAATTCACATCATAAAATTAATCAAGAAAGCTCTTTGATATATGCCTAGGAAATCACTGTGTAATAACTAATAAATAATTAAAAAATTCTTATAATTCAATACATTTAACAAATTATTGATAACATCAAGCTTTGAGTTTCCATTAAGATTTGCTTCATAAAAATGCATGGATTTACCATAATTAGACATGCTATAACAGAAAGCCCCCTTAGTGCCATATTGTTACAGTTAAAATGTAATGTAATACATGATGTTTGCACAAAACATTTTAAGGATTCCAGAAAGATCACTATGAGTATTACCTGGTAAAGCAATTATGAAAAAAGTAACAAAAATTATTTTCCATTTTGGATCCAAATGGCACTTTCAAATTTGTGGATCATTTTTGGAACAACTAAGTGTGTCCTTTTTGTTGGTAAATACTACTTTTTTTCATTCTTACAATTATCATACCACTGATATTAGTGTTAGTATTAAAATGATAATATGAATGAGTGATATCCAAAATTTATGTATTAAATAACAGGCTATTGAAGTTCTTAGCACTGATCAGCTTTCTGGGACAAAACCAAACACTTCAACTCTGGCACAAAGGAAATCTTGGGTCTCAGTGAGTTGTTCATTGCCAAATGTCTCAGTTGGACCACTGTGTCCCCGACAAAGCTCATTATCTAACCAAATGGCATTATCACCCCTGAAAAAATAACAGTGCTTGGTTTAAGGTTATAAAAAGAAACAAACAAACCAACAAGAAAAACTCAGTCTGGCATATCAGACAAGCACCACATAATTTTTCTACATCTGCCTTACTCTTGCCCATACCACTTTAGCTGACTTACCCTTCCCTAGTCATAAAACAATTGTCATTACTCACCCTCCCCCAATCATGAGACATTTGTCATCTCCAGCCATAAACAAATCCTTGGTACCTGGGCCCTCCTTCTGTAGTCCTGTCCATAAATATCTAACAGGCCTGGGACTCAGCCTAAAGACAAAACTTTCCCCAGTACCAAAATATGTAAGAGTTCTGGGCCCTGTGGTTCTCTCACTCCAGCTGGACGTGACAAGACCTCCAATGATCTGTGGGATGATAAATACAACAAAATTAATAATAAGCCAATTTGACATCAAGAGAATGTTTGATCTGCTACAGAAACCACATAAATGCCTTCAGAAAGGATTCCATTTCACTGGTAGAAATAAATCTGTAATTGGCTCCGGATGATTTAGGCCATTAAAATGAAGGCATCACAGGAGGCATTACAGCCCAAAGAACAATAAAGTGATCCAGATTTATGCACTTTTCATCACAGTTGATGATTTAACACAAAACTTGACATCTCACCTCACCAACAGATGATTTGACTAGAAGAACTGTCTCGTCATCACCTTCACACTTGTTGTATAAAGTTCTTATACTGAAATAAAATAAAACTCTAATTCAGAAATTCAATACCTAAAGAGAGGAGGAATCTTTTGAAATATATCACCTAAAAATTGACAGAAAATAATCTTCATTAAACTCTGTATAAGTTTATCTGTGCCTATGACTCCTATATACAACAAAAGAGTTCAGCTTTATGGTATTACACAATACCTGCATCCATCAGTGTCTGTGGTGAACAAGCAAATAGGTCTCTTAATGCGTAACCTGTCTGGTAGCCATGATGACAGTAACTCCCACTGTAAACAAACAGATTAAAGGAATAAGAAATATTTACCCAGAGAGCCCTGGGGGTTTTTAGGAGGTCCTAAAGAGGAAAAATTCGATATTAGTCACTTTTAACATATAAAGGGTTAATTAACAGCAATATTAACCTCTTGTAATGATAGCAAGTTGGAACCTTTAACTGCAAACACAGTCAGGGTCTGAACTGGTGCCCAGGTCTGCTGAGGAACATCCAACAATCCGTTCTCCAATAAAGTTATGTTTTTACTTTTCAGTCTTTCCAGCTGTTTCCTTGAGAGACCTCGAATTCTGAAAGCTGCCTGTAAAAAGACAAAAAAGACAATAAGAAATAAAATTGGGTGAGTTAAAACAACATTCAAGCTTAGAGAGATAACAGTATCATTTTGGACAGCTCAAGAGAAGGTTGTCCTAAGCTGTACACTTCTCCATACAAAATCACTAACCTGAAGAAGCTTGTATCCCCTCAAAGGCATAAGTGATGCAAACTGTTTAAACAGATCCTCTAGGTTTCCATTTTCTGATACTTCTGCTTTAAAATGAAAAAGATCTGATCCATTGCAAAGCCATAACTCTAACAACACCCAGCACTTTTTGTGCAATGATTAACTACAAAAGGGCAATGAATATCTCATTAAAAAAATCCTCATACCTTTATTAATTTGCATCAATATAATCAATAACTCAAAGTACCTTCTTGTTCAATAAACTTTGCAAACTGACTGAATACAATCAAACCAACACGCACAAAAACTTTGGGTCCTTGGACAACAAAACTATCAACAATGTAGACCTAAAAAAAGACAAAAAAAATTACACTGAACTAAGTGCTCACAAAAAGACAAATTATTTTATTTAAACTTATTGATGTCATGCAGAAACTTTGACAAAAACAAAACCCTGCACCTACCAGTGTCCAAAAATCAATGTAATGGAACATCCAGATAAGCCAATCAGGAATAAGAATAGTGTTTTTACGCAACTGTTCTCCCTTTGCTGTTTCAATAAATTCCTTGATCTGTTTGTAAGATGGCATCTGTGTTCATAGAATCAAGAACAAAAAAAAACAGGAACAATTGTTATGTAGTAGTTTAAACTAGAATTATTTCAAACTGGTTTGATTTTTTTCCTTTGTTTAAGGATTATTGTAATGTATATGAAGCAAAGGAAAAGACTAGGACAGCATTTCTCCCTATAATATTTATACTATATCAAGCAGACAAGTAATGAGAATAATGAAAAATATCAATTAAGGGATTATTAGTTGATTCAATACCAAATTCTCCCACCCTAAATCATAAGAATTGTATGGCAGACAGTAAGGAGTATCACTAATGAGATCTTGGGAGAGAAAGGGTTAAAAACAATTCAATCTAAACTTCATTTTAAACTATTCATTTTCAACCCTAAGCAATACACAAACAGTACCCCTAAGAGTGACTAGCATCTAATTTCTCCCAACAATATCACCACTAAATCACATATTGATGTCATGAGAATAATGGAAATGATCACCAACTAAAGAAACTCTTGATTGCTATAGAAATTCTCCTTGTCAGCATATTAGTAAATGTGCAGAGAACAGTGTGGAGAATATGCATACTGGTGTTAGGGTGTGAAGGGCTAAAACCATATAAAAATCTAAAGAAAATAATTTGTACCAATCTCAACACAAAATTTTTCCACATAGTTTTCAAATATTTAAAAAATCATCCAATGGCCTGGTGCAAAAGTTTTAGCAATACCCATTGACAAATCAACTTACAAAATAAGACTTCAAAGAATCTTGAAATGTCTTTGCCATCACAGCAAAGGCCCTCTGACTTTGATCCAACATAGAGCGGTGAGAATTCACTAAAGCAGACATACAAGTATAACAAAGATTTTCCTCCATGAAATGAAGGAAAAGAGATGTTAATGGTGGAACCAAAGGAGCAAATTGGATATCAGGGTGCATGTGAGACAAGATATAAAGGACTTTTAGACAGGTCTTCTCTCCATCTGGTGATAATAGGTATGAAGGAACATTTCTGTTGCCACTAAAAATTGTTGAAGGTATACTGGAGGGTACTTGAATACCTGCAAAACAGTGGTTACGTCATCAATCAATCAGTCAGTCTCAAGACAATGATCTTAGAGTCACATACAGAGACTTTGCTCCTCATAAAATAATGCTGAAAATGTCATCCTTTTACATTTGGTATGGTTGAGATAAAGTTTGCAAAGGTAGGTTAACCATACCCCATCCCTCTGTCAGTCGGTCAGTCAATCAGCCAGACAGTCAGTCCGTCAGCCAGCCAGACAGTAAGTTAGGCAGCCAGACAGTCAGTCAGGCAGCCAGACAGACAGTCAGGCAACCTGACAGTCAGCCAGTCAGTCAATGAAACAACCAAAATTTTTGTGTCAGTCAGTCTACAAAAGTTCAAACAAAGAAAGTGTTTGTAAGTGAATTTGACAAACATCACAAGTCTCAAGGTTAAAGATATAAAGAAAAAGACCTTGAAATCTACAGAAAGATCAGTCTTATCTACATGTAGGATGCCTGCTTGCATGCAAGAGGTCAAAATTATGTTTCTCTACTGTGACTCTGAACATGTCTCTGGTTACTACTGCTTTTTTTTTTTTTGTTGATCCTGCCCACAATCATTAATTTTCACTGTAACACAGTAATGTTGAGACAATGACTGATAGCTCACCTATGTCATCAATCATTTCTTCATAATAGTGAGGAGAGTTGAAAATGATGTCAGCTCCACCGCTAGAATCCTTCCACAGCTCAGATCTGAGTTTGGGAAGGACACCTTGTCTAACTAGTTTCTTCAACTGCATGGTTTCCTCGTGCTCTGGATGCTGTATCCACATTTGTAAGGCTTCTTTAAATTCATCCTCAGAATATCTTGCTTTTGGTAAGTAGAGTTTGGAGACAGAAGTTCTCGAATCTTGTCTAGATGTTTTTCTCGATCTTGATAATTTTCTGGATCCTTTGGACGTTTTGGAGTCCTCTCTATGCAGTTTTATATCTGAAGAAGAACTCTCTACCCAGTGCGAGAAGAACGTACTGCTTATCTCGATTAATTCCATTATTTACACGCAGCTATACGGCTGATGTCTACTGATGATTAACAAGTGCTCACAAGGAGTAACTGACGCATTTAGAACCATCAGTTGTACACGCGTCTTTCACGATACACACAATACGCTTCTGCAGTCCAAATCATGAGATCGCTTTTGATAAATCAAGATAAATTTAGAACCCTGCCTTCGAACATTTAGTCATTACGAGAAATCAATGCCGTCAATCGCTTCTCACTAATTCCGTGTAATTTCTTATTTCATCATATTTCTCGGAACGACTGCGCACGATAGAGGTAATCAAAGGTCACGATGATTAAATATCTAGTTTCTTCACAGGTGACGTGACATGTAACATTAGAAACGGGAAAAAATGAGGAAAACCTTTAAATTAAAGACCACCGGACAAAGTCTGTTATGTTCTCCATGTTGACACGGGTATTTTTAGTTTGGATTAACCAAATATGGAACCTTCGGTCCCAGTCTTAGTTAACGTGGTACCTCTTTCACTATCGCTACCATTCTTGGTTAGCTGATACCTTCACTTGAGGTTGAAATCGAAGTAATTATGGATGTTTCAACGTTGATGCATAACCTAAAGGAGGAAGTAACTTGTTCTGTATGTATGCAGTTATATACAGATCCCAAACAGCTGCCTTGTCTACATACATTTTGCCTACAATGTCTTAACAATGTTACTCGAACAAGCAAACGAAATGGCACGATAAGATGTCCTCTTTGCCAACGTGAAGTAGCTGTGCCTGATTGTGGTACAATGGAGTCTTTACCAGACTGTTTTTATCAAAAAAATCTTCTGGATATTTTGGCCATCAAGAAGTGCGGCAATGCTAAAGTGACTTGCGGTAACTGTGGTGAGAATAACGAGAAAGTGTCTTATTGCTTCCATTGTGGGGAGTTTTGGTGCAGTGTTTGTCTAAGTGGGCATAATATCATTCGTGCGAACAAGGATCACCGTGTTCTCTCATTAAAGGATTTTGAAGACAAAGACTTCGAAGATGTTCTTAAACGACCGGCTTTCTGCTTGAAGGAACTCCACGAGCGACAAGTGCTGAAATTTTTCTGTAAAATGTGCAACGTCCCCGTTTGTCAAACTTGTGTCATAGTCGACCATGTCGGTCATAATGTTGAACATTTGGAGTTAACGGCGAAAGCTGCCAAGGAAAACATCACGATTCAATTAGATTTGGCTAAAAGTGCTGGTAAAACTCACACATACCTCAAAGAAGAGATGAACGAAATAGAAAATTGCACTAAAGCCACCGTTGAAAAAATAAGAAATACAACCCAGTCAATTATTGGTAAACTTCACCAGTTTGAGCAAAAACTCACTTCAGAAGTTGAAGATGAAGGGAAGGCAGCACTTGAAAAACTTTCAGTAAGAAGTACAGCATATCAGGCACAGTTGACCAAATATGAAGAAACCATATCACAGATTGAACACTTGGTTAACAGAGGTACTGCAGCAGAAGTCGTGCAGTTGCAATCCCATGTCAGTAAGTCCCTTCATGAATTGAAGGTTGAACCCCCATGTAGAAATGAAGGTGAGGAAAGGTTAATTTTGGACTTCATTCCAAACCACTCTTTTCTTGAAAAGATTGATGATCTTGGAAGTACAGCACTGGGTACTCTGTCGTGTAGTGCAACTGTGGCAAGTAAGTGTACTGTAACTGCAAAATGTACAGCTATGGTTGGTGAAGAGACAAAGATTGAGATTGTCTCTAGGAATTCACGTGGGGATCAGTGTTACAGCTCAAATGACAGCATTTCCTCAAAATTTTCCCTTGTGAAAACAGACTGTTCACATGACTTTGTGTGGAAGACAGTGGATGAGAAAAATGGAAAGTATATAATTTCCTTATACAGTAATTTGTTGGGAAAGGTGAGGGCTCAGTTCACAATAAATGGAGAACCTATAAAGCAGACTTTACTTCTTAACATAAAGGGAAGAAATTATGCATATGTGGATGTGATTCATTCAGACTTTTATAACCCATGGGGAGTTGCTGTTAATACCTCAGATGACATTTATGTTACTGACTTGAACAATAAAAAAGTGCAGGTTTTGAGAGATCATGAGCCTTTTTCAAGAACCTTTGGACGTGGTGTAGTGTATTCTCCTTCTGGAATCTGCACTGATTCTTCAGGAAGGATCTATGTCGCAGACAGAGATTTAAACAAAATACTTCTGTTCAATTCCCAACATAAATTATGCAAAAAGATTGGAGATGAGGGAGGACTGAAAGAACCACGTGGGATATCACTAGATCCTGAGGGAAACATTATTATCTGCAATTCAGGAAAAAGTTGTGTCCAACTGCTTTCCTCTGAAGGGGACCTTCTCCTAACCTATGATGGTAGAGCTTGTGGACTTCAATTACCATTTGACTGCACTTGCCATGAAAACAATGTATATGTGTCTGATTTCAAAGGCCATAGTATCAAAGTTTTTAATGACGTTGGAAAGTTTTTATTTCAATTCGGTGAAGAGGGATCTGGGAATGGCCAGTTTAAATCACCAACAGGACTAGCAGTGGACAAAGCAGGAAATCTCTTAGTTTGTGATGACTACAACCACAGAGTGCAAGTTTTTACCAAAGATGGAAGGTTCCTATCAAAGTTTGGATGTTATGGAGATGAAATGGGACAGCTGAATAAGCCAACGGGCTTGGCAGTCTGTCGGAATGGTGACATTGTTGTTGCAGAATTTGGAAATAATCGTCTCCAATATTTTAGAAACTAGCTGGTTCTCTGGATGGAAATATTCCTAGCAAGGTCTTCATGCTAAATTTCTTAAAAAATTCAATAATTGTGACTTCAATGTTTAATGAGCTAATTCTAATAATCACAAGTCATGCCGTAACTTGCCATTGTCCCAAATAGAAAATTCTAATCACTCAACAGATATATTACAATTGCAACTAAACTCAGCGAATTTTTTTTTTCAGTGGAGTTTTGCTCAGAAGCAAATGGAATGGTGTTTCTGTATTTTGAAAAAAAATCTGGATAAAACCAGAGTTAAAAGCTTATTCCAGTCACATTTAGTAAATTTACATCTACCACTTTTTCTTTTGATCTTGTTTCGAGGTTTGTCTCTTATAATTGTCTGAATGAAATCTATAAACTATGCTGTAAAATCACCCCATGAAGAATTCTTTGGGCTAGTTTGCCTCAGATAGTATTATACTAAAGCCAAAGGAAACACCAGAATTAATCTGCATACTTTTAGCATTTCACACTTTTGAGTTTTAAAAATATTCCGAATTTGCTTCTGTTTCCCAGATAAAGCATTACAAAGTAGCTGTGGAGTTACGTATATTTACATTCCATACCCACTAAGTTTGAAAGGGACTTCTAGGTCTAACAAAGTGTGTTTAACGCAGCCATTGAAATGTTTACTGTGTCAGCTTCTCTTTATTTGGAACTTTCCTTTTTTGCATTCTATTATATTCAAAGTTCTTTCATTCAGGTTTAACTATTATGTACAGTTGTTTACTGAGGAGTATGGCTTCTCTCCATAAATGCAGTTGGATTTAGCTCCTAACTATTAGTTGATTGAATTTTAACCTACTGAGAAATGTATTTACAGACTATCTTTTTCATGTGATATGAACAGACTTCAAAATTTGTAATACTTGATTTATTCTGCTATCTTGGTTGCAGCTTTCCAATCTTGGCAGCCAACACTGTCTCTCTTTCCTTGAGCCGTACCTCAACTTCAGCCTTATGTAACAAAGGGAAAAAAACTGATTAATAATACTTTCATGGGATGAAAACTTAATATTTCTGCTTTAAGACAATTTAAAAACACCTTTGAGTTGCCTTGTGTTTCTGAGAGGGAAACTTGAGAGAAATATCTTTCCTTTAAACATATTAACAAGTGACTCTGGCTGAGATCTAAGAAACTACTCTGTAAATAAAAATTAATCCTTCACTCTATGTATTATTCAAGTCTGACTGTGGTTGTTCAACAAGGCTCAGCTATAATAACCACCTGAAAATTTCCCAACACTTCATCAGCTACTTTCTTCACAATATTCTTGACCTGGGTGGGTTCTATGGATGATAAAATGTTCTGTGCAGTTTGATCCTTGGAGTGGGCGACATTATCTGAATGAGCTGCAAAAAATTCAAAAGAAAACTAATTAAACATGACATGTAAGTATTACAACAGGACTGTAACTAAAGAAAAATGAAAGAAATAAAAATTGTGATAAAAATAAGTATTTTTTTCCTTAAGAAAGGTTACATTAGCTCAAACAGTATTCTTTAAGGACTTTAAGAGTATACCAGAGTGACAAGGTGTAATGTGCAGTTTCTAAGAACAAGAAATTACATGTACCTTCTTGTCCTGATTGTTCCTTTTCTCCCTACAAACACACAGGTAAGATTAAGTAGCCAACATCAAAATAGCTTTTGAAATCTAGTCTAATGAGCCCAATCTGTTGAAATTTGTCAATTTTTGTGACCTCATAGATGTGCATGGTTATCATAATGATGAAATGTAAAAATCGACTCACAAAGAATGTCTTTTCAGTGCTATATCATTTTGAAATTGAGTAACACAGTCATTTCCATAGTAGAAAAGTTGATGAAAAGAACTGCAAGTGTGAGGTACAAGGGTGCCAACAAAGGGGAGGCAAACAAAACCCCAATATGCTTATTTTCCTCTCTCATTAGACCTTGAACTCTACTCTATGTTCCTGCTTAATGTCCAATTTGTTTCACAAAGTGAACAGTCTAAAAAAAGCAGAGGGCAATGAGCAAATTCATTTGAAGTCTCCCTTCATTAAATGCAAAATTAAACTGATCAAAAGCTGGTCTAATTTGCCCAGTTTATATATTTATATCAATTCTGTTAATGCTAGGGCAATGCTTACTTCTGTCTGTTCTTCTGGTTGGGGTGACTGTGGTGGTGTCATCACATGTTCCCTCCACATTTCCTCAGTCATGCCTTCATCTAATGGAGGTGGAAATGGAATGCTAGCCAGTGGAGGAACTTCAACTTCCAACTGTGCAAAAAATAAGAGATTGCCACTTAATTTTTTTCCTTAATTCTGGAGAAGTGATTGAAAATGTACATGCACTGTACTTTAACAAAACAATTTTAAACCTAAGAATGGGGCTGTCCTGGTGTACCGGTACACGGGGGAATTCCTATTGTTTTCATATCCATACATGGAGTTGTGATGCAGTTCGTTAATGTTTTGTTCCTTTGTGTACCGGTACACAAGGACACAACCCTAAGAATAATGCAGTAATACTAAAGTACAAACCTCAGTTATGACGACTTCCTCTTGTGGCTCCTGAGTGAAAAGAAACTGGTACAACTTATAATGCTGGAACAAACTGCAAAAGATCAACAATTATAGTTTTATCCAATCACATTGAGAGCTGAAAGTCAATAGGAGTTCCTGTGTGATTGCTTTATTATAAAAACCCCTCCATTATATTGGATACCATTGTCTTGAATGGATATAACATCTTGAAAGAGGATAAACTCATATACTTTTACCTTTCATAAATATTTGACAAAGAAAGCTCTATCCTTGTTAGATTTAGATTCCCAAAACTTTAATGTTTCCGTTCTTTAAATTGAATTTTACAGCTTACAAGTCACCATGACCAAGTCTTGAGTGCCATCCTTGGTTATTTGTCATTGCAATCTTCATTATTATCGTTAACATATAATCTATAATGATCCTTTGTTTTGCCTAAAATTGTTCCCACTCACATTAACAGAAGCACATTACCTCCACAAAATCAAATGTGATGCAAAATTTACCTGTCAGTAAAGTAATCAGTTATGAGCTTTGCCTGATTTACATCAAAACATTCCAGGCCCCCATTTAGTGGACAATTTTCAACTCCAATCCCTGCCAGAAGTGACTTGAACTTTTGTATACTGTCAACCAATGAAAATTGTTTTTCTGAGAGGAAAAAAAAAAATGTTAAGTCCTACAATTAAATTGTTGTCTCAACAGTAACTAGTAAACAACTGGTTTAATTGCTGCCAAGGGCATCCATTACTATCAATAATATGCAATTATTACCTTTAATATTGTCTAGCATTTCCTTCAAAAGAGTGAAAAATGCAGATATTTGCTGAAGGGTGAAATTCTGTTCTTTTGCAAACCTACATAATATCATTGTCAAGGTAAAACTAAGCAAGGACTGCTCTTATCAACTAAAACCTCAGTTTGTTGCACATTGATACTACAAATTATTTTTAATTACAATATAGGGAAGAATCATCTTGCTGTCTATCATCATAAATTGAATAAACTTTTTTATCACGAACGATCACCTCTCATCTAATCTCTATGCAATGAGGTGGGCAAGACCAGAAAAAAAAAAAAAACACCACAATCATTTGATAGGTTGGTTCATTTAATCCTTCAACTCCCAAGAACTGTTTACTAATTCTCCCTGCCAGCTGCTTCAAATTTCCTTGTAAATTACTTACAAGAATTTGGTGTTAGATATAGATAACAATTTCTACCTGTTAAGTTTGAGTATTCTTATCACCTGTTTATTGGATAATGTATGGATATTATAGGGAGAGGTTGCAGCTTTATCACTTCTCGGAGTTAAAGGGTTAACTGAGTAATGTTTCTGCTAAAAAATTTCCCAACATTTTGATATTCACACCTTCTGGAGAAATCTACTTTGATTTTTGTCTTTGATTCCCATTTTAGTAAAAAGTGATTACAAAGGATACCAAAACCCTGCAACATAGTGATCCAGTACACAGGCCTCTGGTAGAGAGATATGATAATTTTCAATGGACAGCACTTCTGCAAGTTTCCTGAGGTCATAGCAGAATAATATATGTCAATCAGTACATACAGAAGTTAAACGAATTGTTACTATCTTAAATAGTGGGGTGCAAAGTCTATTGACAGTGGACAAATTCGTTTGATTTCACAAAATGTTTGCAAATTTGTTTGTGCCATTTTCAGAACTTATTTTCATTTTTGTCAAAATCGAAGTTTGTTCTCTTGTTAATGTGCTAATGAACAAGCAATCCAGGTCTATCCGTCAGGCATGAAAAATTTTATAGAAAATTGACTCCCTAGGTCCTTTGAAGTGTGAATAAATTTAAGTTTGGTTCATTAGAAATCGACTTACGCTTCCAATTCATGGACAGTAAGTTCCTTCAGAGACTGTGTCTGTTCTTCTGAAAGGACCTTCCATGCTAGTGACTCTTTCTCCTCTTCCTCCTTCAATAAGAAGAACACGGAACTTAACTCAAGTCATACTGATGAACACCAGCACTAGCACAAAAAGATCAATTCAGGTCTCGCGTTACTTTTCAAACAATTAATTGACATCTATTCAGAAGTAATGCACAATCACATAGAAATAGTGCACGATTACTTTGAATTTAAATTCATTAAATGACGCTTCAGACCTGGATTCTTGCTGCAACATTCAAAACATGAACAAAATGCTGCTTCCATAAAACATTAAGTTGAAAATCGTTCTTTGCACTACATCTAAGTCACGATAATGACCTTTTTAGAACAATGTCGCCTTAAAACTCTTCCCGTATAACTTTGCCATAAAGACCAAATAGAAATCCTGAACTCATACGAAGTCGCAGTACAGAGAGAAATACAATAAGATGATCACAACAAAGTTAAAAGTACTGTAAACATCAGCTGAAGTCGAAAAGTTTTGCAAAACAAAACAACGCATTGTCTATCCAGATCTACATATAAAGACATGAAAATAACAAAAACACTAACAGATTGGCCTTTGTTTCGATTTGTTGCCGAGTCCCGTTTCGCTGCAGATTTCTTCCTTTCTCTCTCCGAAGATTTTATTCGAATGGCCGATCTAGACTTCTTCTCCGCCATCTTTGAATACGGCCTTACTCCTGGGTGACACTCGTTGCTATGCAACTGACCTACAATCTCCGTGCAGGTCGTAGGACTGGGGGGATGGGAGGGGGGGGAGGGGGAGAATTAGCATTTTAGTAAACAGGATGCACTACATTTCTCAAGAAATCGATTTAAAAAGCTGGATTAAAATTCTAGTCACTCTATACCAAGCATACAACATGACTTTTGCGAAATACTTGCTTTCGTATGAAAAGAAACGACCAAACCTTTAGAGGTCAATATCGTAGTTACTACTGTTATTACCTTAGTGGCGAGTTCGCTTCTTTTGCGTGAAACTTTTGGAGGGGTTTTACCGCGCTTTGAGCGGTGTGGAACGTCTAAATTTTCCATACCTTCTCTAAAAATCAAATTTGATTATCATGCATCTTAAAAACTATATACTTGGAACTTCTAGACTTTGCGGCTCTGTAAATTCCGAACGGTACTGTAAGGATTGACTTGGCAATACTTTTTGTGTACGATAATTTTGAGCCACTGAATAGCTCAAGATCAAAGGCATAATAACTCTGATACGTCGTCCAATAAACGACCGTTTGGATGAGAAGCTAATTAGCCGGTAATAAGAGAATTCAAAATGCCGACAGTCTTTAGAGACCATTCAGTTGTTTGCAAGATAACGGACGAAATCTCTTCTAATTATTTTCGACAATTTTGAATAAGATTTAGAAGCTTGTTAAGTTTGTGAAAGTTAATTAAAATTGGTTGCGAATTCCTAGTCGGATCCTTACCCCCACCCCTCCCCCGTCATAAATTTATTGCACCCAAATCACGTACAAGTTGGGGTGGGGGTAGAGACGTCTCGAGAGGACAATGAAAATAATTATTCGTTCCTTGGTTTTGTAATTCAATTTCATACTGTGTTTTTTTTATGCAGTTATCTCCCCCACTGCCGAACCAAAGTGCTCTAAAAACTGAGATAATTCTATTACTGGTCTTTTGATACGCTGTGGTAACTTTCTTTCTTTATTCATCAAAATAGGCAGGGAGAACTTAGAGGCGCGGTATCCTATAGAAAGCATTACCCTTCCAATCATGAGTAATCTACTATCGACAAGCCACATCGCCCACTATTGCACCCATATGCAAACCAATCTCATTTGATTATTTCGATATTTTAATAATTGCATGGCAACACCCGAAGACTTTCTAATTCCTGATGGAAAGCGACCGAAAAATATAAACATCGCTTACTAGTAATTTACACCAGTTCTGATTTTAGGATTCAAAACGTGCAAAGGAAAGTGATCAAGAGAAGCTGCTGAAATGAATTAATATGGAAACATGCTGAACAAGTTGAAGGAAGGTTTCAAGGGGAATGTGATGACTGAAGAGCCTATCGTTTGCAAGATTCCGTTGACATTTCAAAGGCTTGTGCTCAACTTCAGCCCTAAGTTTAGGGATGTTTTTTTCCCAAAGAGGGATGTAGCACTGTCATCAGGTGAGTTAAGTATCATAATAAACTTATAAAACCGTTGTGATTCCCCCAGCTTCTGTCCACATCTACCTCACAAAGGAGTAACTACTGTCCTCTCTCACGTCGCCGAGGTCTCTCAGTACATGCACTGTGTTTGGAAAACATACACAAACATGGCAAAGGAGCCAAGCCAACTACTCGAACATTGGAATACAATTCAGTAATCTGTGCCATCAAGTGAATGACGTTGAGTGTCATGGTGAGCACTTGGCTACCCTTGATCGACTCTACTTGAGTAATTTACATTTTACCCTCAACAAACCTCTTGACTTACTTTTTTCACCACAATTTCCGGTGTGGGTGCTGGAACTGGCACTAAGCGCTTTTTCAAAATACCAGTCGCTTTTTTGGACCTTTTATAGTTTCTATGATATTCCATGTTAATAACAATGTAGATGCTTTCACAATGCGCTACGAGTTGAATATGGTTGTACTTTTTAGTTTCATTTAAGCGTCTAATTAACCCAAACAAAAGAAATATTGACAGGTTTCAAGAACAGATTACTTTGATAAAGCGTTGCATTGTGTTTTAAACAAGCAAAGCTGTGATTTGAAAGGTTGTATTGACTGACTAGTTGATCCATCTTCACATCGTTGTAAATTACCCCAACGCTAATAAAACCTCTTATCGATTGTAATAAACAACTATCTAACAAGTGCTTTGGAAGCTTCCTTTAATATG